CTCAATATGAAATTATCCCAAAACACAATGTACTATTTCTAACTAGAAATTATGGGATTTCCTTCATTTCAGGGTAAATCTTTAAGGTATTTTATAAACTTCATATTAATTTCTGTGAAAATATTAAGTATTTCATATGTACAATATTTATCCTTCTGCTAAGAAGTAGGAAAGTTAACTCCCTCTGGAAATAAACTCTTAATTGTTTGCAAGTTTTTTTCTTTCTCTCTTGGTGAGTTTTTGTAGGGGCTCCTTTGTGTTCTTAATGTTGAGCTTCAATCCATGTTGCAAATTACAGTTCTTGACCTTCTGTAGGAAATACTTTAGGTCCTCCTCAGTTTCAGCAAGCAAGATTGTATCATCTGCATAATACAGGTGGTTGATGAGTCTTCCTCCAGTTCTGATGCCACATCCTTCCCCATAAAGTCCAACCTCTCGAATGATTTGTTCTGCATGTTGTTGTTGCTGTTGTTGTTGTGCCATCGAGTCGCTTGCAACTCATAGCGACACTGTATAAGAGCTCTATACGTTCTTCTATCCTGTGCCAACCTAGCCATCTCAAATGTACTTATTCCCACCTCTCCAGTCACAGAATTGATCCATCTCATCAAAGGTCTTCCTCTCCTTCGCCGCCCCTCCACTCTGCCAAACATGATGTCCCTCTCCAAGGACCAGTCCCTCCTTGCAACATGCCCAAAATATGTCAGACAAAGCTTCAGAATCCTTGACTCCAGGGAACATTCTACATACAGATTAAAAAGGTATGGAGACAGAACACATTCCTGTTGCACTCATTTTCCAATTTTACATATAGATTGAAACTCAACATCATGAAAACAAATGTTCTCACCACTAGGTCAGTTGGCAGCATCATGATAGATGGAGAAGAGATTAATAATTTCAACTTGCTTAGTTTCACAATCGACACTTTTGGTACCAGCAATAAGGAAATCAAAAGACTAATTGCATTAGGAAGATCTGTTGTCAGGGACCTCTCCAGAATGCTGAAAAGCAAGGATGTTAATCTAGAGACTAAAGTGCATATTATCCAGGCCATGGTCTTCACAATTAGTTGCTATGAGTCAGAGAGCTGCACAATGACCAAGGATGACAGAGGAATTATTGAAGCTTTTGAGTTGTGGTGCTGAAGAAGAGTATTGACATGCATGGACTGCCAAGATAATTAACAGGATTTTCCTAGAGAGGGTAAAACCAAGCTGCTCCTTGCAGGAAAGGATTTTGAGACTCTCCAATATTTTGGGCATGTATCTAGAAGGGACCAGTCTTTGGAAAAGTACATCATACTTGAGATGGTGGAGGGACAGTACAGGAGAGAAAGATCCCAGATTAGACAGATTGATAAAATAACTGGAGTAATGAAGGTAGGTGTTTCAGAGACAGTGAGATTGGCTCAGGATAGAACAGGGTTCAGAACTTTTGTGTATAAGGTCAACTTAACAGCACATAATAACAACCAGACTGAATAATAGTTGAGGAAGAAATCTCATTATATGTTATGTTTCTTTCCTCTGGTATCACCTACATAGGTGTTTACCAGCATGTTGCAAGCATTTCTCTATTTGTTGAACTTCAACTGTGTTTTTACTACTTTTGGGTTTTTCACCTTTTTTAAATTTAGATCTTTTTTGTCTATACAATACAAATCATGACATTTAATGTAGTCTGTATAACAACATCTATATTACTTGATTTTTAATTCTAAGAGTAGTTTAACAATTATGCTAAAGCATTCCTTTAGTTATGTTTTAAGCATTATTTGTATTGCTTTTTCCTCAATTCATTTAAGCATCCATTGTTATGAACCAGACTCAAGACTGACAAAGATAATGAAAAACGAGGGTCTCTCAAGGCAGGCACACATGGTCACTGGCAGAGTGTTACTGGGTGACGGTGGTGAGGCCAAGCCAAAACACCATAGGGCCGTGGGAGTCCTGGATGGCAGAACCCAGCACTTCACTAGCTGATTCCCATCCTTCCTTCTTTCAAATTACTGACACTGACCTTGTTACCAAATCCTGAATTGTGCCTCCCTGGACTCCTGCCCTCACCCCACTCACCACTGTCTAACTAGGCTCTAGCCTCCATCACAAGCATCCCTGGAACACTCAGATTGACATGCTGGCTGTTCGCACCAGGAAGGTCACCCCCTCCTTCGCCAGAATGCAGACCCCATCAGACAGAGGCAAATGTTCAAAGACCCTGGTCAGGTCCCTGGACACAAAATTCAAACGGAGGCTGGTAAAATGATTATTTTCTTGAGAGATCACTACATGATTTCACAAAGTCACGGGAATTATGGAACTACAATACAAGGAGGAGTCGGGGCATGACGGACTTAAAGACAACTAAACAGGGGAGCTCTGGTGGCCTAGTGGCAAGGAGCTGCAACTACAATCCCAGAGGCGCATGGTTCGAACCCACCAGTTGCTCTGCCGGGGAAGGAGGGACAATCTCCTCCTGTACCAGTCAGATCTGATTTGATGGTACACTCACACAAAAATAATAAAAGAAAAAAAAAGACAACTAAACAGCTCCACCCCTCCTCTTTCTCTCCTCTTTGTTGATCTCATTTTCTCCCCTCAAATTATACCAGTGTCCCTGGGAGAAATGTTGACAACATTTGAGTCAGAAGTTTTATATCTTTCTCCACCAGAGAGGAACTGCCTCCTTCATCAGGCCTGCGACAAGATCTGGCTTAGGTGCCCTGGGTCAAGGATCCAGGCTTGGGCCAAAGAGCTGTGTCCAGAGGCAAACTGCTGTGTGTGAACAGCTCTCCCTGGTCAAGTGATTTTTTCCTGGAAGAATCCTGTGGACAAAAGTGCAGCCATGTGACACTACGGTAGCAGATACCACATCAGCAGAGCTTGAAGGAAATAATTTCTACAAGAGGGGTGACGCAGGTTGATTCCAACTCATGGGGACTCTACAGGATGGACTGGGGACTCTACAGGATGGACTAGAACTACTCTGTAGGGTTTCCATAAAAGAATGACGATGCTGATTCTCACATCCTTTGGGTATTTCATTAGGAGAAGCTATTCCTTGGAAAGGGGCATGATGCTTGGAAATGAAAAAGAGCAAAAGAGAGGAAGAGAGAGGAAGACCCTCAATGAGACGATGGCAATGGGCTCAAGTGTGTCAGAGACGATGAGGATGGCACAGGACAGGAGCTGTTGTTCATCGGGTTGCTATGAGTCATATTTGGCTCAATGACACCTAACAACACATTGGGTTTCTGAAATGCTAAATCTCTCTAGAAACAAGTTCGCATCTTCCTTCCATGAAGCAGCTGGTGGATTCAAACCACAAACCTTTCTGTTAGCAGCCCAATCCACTGTGATAGCGGAGTTCCTAGGTGACCATTACAAAAAAAACATAAACAAGGAGAGACATATCCACCACTTCTTTACATATAGTATGAGAAATCCTCAGAGCCAAACCTCAAAGGAGATAACCAAACACATGGCTCAAAAATTGGGGCTGTGAGAAAGGAAGCGCTTTGTCTGTGGCCACATGTCAGCAGCGAATAAAAGATTCAGCTCTAGGTAGATCTGACTCCGAAGTCCTTACCCTTTGCTCTGACACACTCACAGGGCAATGAGGGACAGAGAGACAGAAACTCTGCAGAGCAGGAGTAAGAGATCCAGATGCTGTAATAGCAAGGACCGAGTATGACCCAAGGAGTAGGACATGGAGAGCTAAACCCTGGGAATACAATGCTCAGGCTTGATAGAAGACTGAGAACTTGAACCTGAGACATCAACATCTCAGAAGCTGTGTGAGCCTGGGACCAACTTGTCAGGGCGGAGGAGACAGAATGAGGCTGGAACCCAGGGCTTCTGAGCTTGCAGACTTGGTGAGGAAATAACCAGAGACCCCAGAGCCCTCCTCTCTGTAGTACCAAATGGACAGAGGAGAGCCTAGCCTTGACCTCTTAATTGCTTCTTTGCCATTACTTGAACCCAGGGGACAGCTTTTCACAGGAAGGGGCCATCAGGAGGCAGCGGCCGGGGACAAGAAAGGATGAGGGAGATACGGCAATGAGTTGCTCAGCTCCTGGGTCTGCAATACCTTAGGGGCCGGCAAACTGCCTGAGAGGTTGAGCCAACAGCAGACCATCTTCTCTTTCCATCCCCATCCCTGGGGAGCCCCCAACTGACCAGGTCATGATGAGGAGTTCAGCCTCCATTTCGGGCTGAGGGCACGAGACAGGTGGAGTTTTAGACGACTTGAGTTGGGCTAACAGCTTCCAGTTTGGGTCTCACGTTCTGCTGAGTATAAAGATACAACCCCAGTAGGGCAGCATCACGGGGTTAAAGGTGAGTGGGCTCCTCTCAGCCTTTGGCAGAGGAACTGGACCTGGGTGAGTACATTTCTGATCCAGAAGCTGAAGGGTTGGTGACCATGATGGCTGTGCAGCCTCAACCCTTCCCCTTACGGAGGAATAGCCTGGGGAGCAGGTGAGGACAGGGCTGCAGCCAGTACGGGCTCCTGATGTCCATTCCTGAGTTTCCACTGCCATCTCCACTATCATTACCCCAGGCTTCACTGTTACCAACCCTGACGGTGGGATGGGAGTGGGGCATCGTTTACACTGGTCACATGTCAATGAGGTACCCTGAGATTAGTTAACGTGATGACCTCTCAATGCTTCTGTTTATGCCAGAGCCAAAGAAAAGAACTATTGCTACCAATAACAATTCCAGCTCCTAATGACCCTATAGGACAGAAGAGAACTATCCCCTGGGATTTCCAAGGCTGTAAATCATTTTGGAAGCAGATGCAGCAGCTGGTGGGTTAAACAGTGGAGCGCCTAATCCCATTGCTAATCGGTAAGAATGCCTGCTCAGTCTGGTCAGAGGCTCAGAATGCACGCAGGGCCTCTGGCAATCCCTGATGATTCCTCAGAGCTGGTATCATTTGCCACCCTTGGCCCTGACCTCCAGGACTCTGTTAGAAAGAGACTAAGGAAGACATCTTTACTCTTTTATTGGGAGGAGAAGATGCTCCGTCATAATGCAAGACTCTGAGCCCAGAAAGAACTCCAGTTTGACATGTACTTCTTTGGCTATAACCCTGTAGTCGCCCTTGATGATTCCCCGGGAAGCGTTGGTATGACACCGCCAGTAGGCCTGGATCACGCGAACGGCGTTGAGGAGATGACAGTAGCGCCTGCGGATGCGCCACATCCGGACCCAGGACTGCAGCTTGACTGCTGCCCACTCGTTCTGCTTAAAGACCCTCAGTATCGCCTGGCGCCTCTTCTCCAGACGCCTCGCCAGCGTGAGGCGCCACCAGCACTGAATGATCCAGGCCTGGAGGGCCGCGTGCAGCAGCGTACGGCGTACCAGTGTGCCTCTCCACCAGGCCTGGATTTTTACAGCTTCTAGGTCACTTTTGGGAGACTCCTTTCGGTTTTCTGGAGGCTTTCAAGGAAAAACAAACAAACAAAAACCAAAAAAAAAAACAAAACAAAACAAGGAACAAAAAAGGAATGTTTTATACCCACTTCAGCCTGCAGTGTGTCAAGAAATGAAGAAATGGCCCTGGTCTTCTCTCAATAATTGTCCTTTCCTTTGAAGTTCAGAAACACTGTCGTGTATTGAGTAGAGGCAGATGATCAGACTTACCATCTTGTCCCATGTCTCAGTGTCCCCATGTTTAAAACAGGGATATATCGATCCTGGCTAGCCCGCCAAGGGCAAGAACACCCTATCTATGAGTTGTAGGATTACCATGTTCTTCCAAGGTTTGCCCACCTAGCCAGGATCCATGCCACCCACCCACTGCTGAAGTACCATCTTTTGTACCCACACTCCTCTCATCCCTGACTCCAGGTCAAATTGCAACCTGCTTTCTCCTATGTGAAGATATTAGAAGTTACCCCAACCCTAGATAGTTGAAACTTTAGAACTTTTTCTTCCTAACTTGACTTTCACACTTTAAATCTTAATTAGCAAGCAACTATATACATATATATGCACAAGTTCAAACACACATGTGTACACATACAGACTATTCTAACTAACCCAATTTTCTCACATCTTGGCAGTTCTATTACACAGCCCCCACCTTCCCAGTCCCAGCCCTGAATGATCTGGGATTCATACTTTTCTGGATATCTCCTTTGTATCAACTCTCTGGGACTCAGCTGGAGGCACATCTACAGCCTGAAAAGAAAATGGACAAAGAGGGCAGACAAGAATGAGTTGACTCCAGTTCTTAGCTTCAGACCGTGCAAAAGGCACCCATCATTGGCACTAGGACACAGGGACCAGTGGCTTCCAAGCCAAGGCTCCTCCTACCTTTGATGTACTGGGGGTTGATGGTACTGAAGATACATCAGTCACCTTTACTGCCTGCTGAGATGCAGTATTATGAAGGGTTTTAGTGACATTTTCAGGCTTGTCGTCTCCCTATAATCAACATGAGAGAGCCTGAGGCATCATTTCCTCCTCTTTACTTACTATCCCACACATCCCAAACTTTCAGTCTCCTCCAAGGCTTTAGATATCAGTAAGGAGGGGGGAATCCCCTCATCCTGAATGATCTGTGAAAACACCCCTAATAGCCCTGTTGGGCCTGGCTTTCTTACTCACCATTGTTCACACATAGATTGGGTATAGATGGTTCAAATCCCCTCAGGTCTCTGTTCACCTAGCCATGACATAGACAGGAATGGAGGAGGGCAGATCTGTGATATCATAAGGGCACTATGACTCAGGCACCAGAATAGGTTCTAACAACTAGTGCTCCCTACAGTGGGGGTGGGGGAAAGTGTTGCCCATTCTTTTTTTGCCAAAAATGGGCAAAGCCCTGAGGTAGGATCTCAGAAATATGACTCATTTATTGCAAAGAGATATCAAGATAGTCATTGATAACCACATAAAACTACAAAAATGTAAATAGCCATTGCTAGGGGAATGGATTAAATTATATTTATCTAGTTAGGTTATAGAATACAGCATTACTGTTAAAAATGATGAGTCATCTGTATGTACTGATAAGGACATGCAAGCAACATGTATTAACTTGTTTGTTGTTGTTAAGTGCCATCCATTTGCAGGTGACTCATAGCGACCCTATGAAGGAGAGTCTTCAACGCTTGTGTGTCTTTCATCCTCTCTCCAGGTTCTTAGGGTTTCTGGAGACAAGCTATTACAGAAGTGGATGTCACTCCTCCTCCCAAGCTTATTTTAATTGGGGAGTTCCAGCCCATACTGTCCGCATTGGGTAGCCAACCATTAACACATTTGACACATCAGTGTCACAGTGTTCAGCCTCACAGCAAGCACAAGTTACCGCTGTAGGCAAGTGAACACACCCACCAGGGCTATATGACCTAGAGGAATGTCTAAACAAAAACAATGAAAGGCCCGAGGGCAGCAGATTAAAAGTCACCCACCTTTGGCTTAGTAACATCCGCTCTCTGTCCACTGGGCCAAGGGATCTCTATCTTTTATTTTTTTTTTGGGGGGGGGATCTCTATCTTGATGTTATTGTTGTTAACTTAAAAGCTGAAAATATAAAGATAAACTGATCCCATCTGTCAGTAATTTGTAAGAGAATAAATTTACTGTTTGGTAAAGTCATTTGTTGTGGGATGTCAGATCTAGGGGAAGGATTTTGTTTTTCTCCTGTCCTAAGGAGCCCCCCAGGGGTATGCTGGCTGTACTTACCCCAAGACAAATGTCGCCATTCTTTTGGCCATCCACTGTATTTTTTCTTCTTGGCCCAAGCCACAATTCAAAGGCATCTATTCTTTGGAGTTCCTTCTTCCATGTTCAACTTTCCCATGCAAAAGTGAAGCAACTGAAAACAGCATGGCTTGGGCAAGACATTCCTTAATCTCTATACTGAAATCCTTGCTCTTCAGTAAGGTCCTTGGCAGTAGAATTGCCCAATGCAACATGTCTTTTGATTTCTTGACTGCTGCTTTTTTTTTTTATTTTATTATTTTGTGTGTGTACTGTCAAATCAGATCTGACTGGTGGAGGAGGAGATCGTCCCTCCTACAGCAGAGCATCTGGTGGATTCAAACTGCACACCTCTGGGATTGCAGTGCAGCTTCTTGCCATTAGGCCACCAGAGCTCCCTTTGACAGCTACTTCTATGGGTTAGTTATGGATCCGAGTCAAATGCTATTATTGACAACTTCAAACTTCTCATCATTTATCATAATGTTGCCTATCGGTTCTGTTAAGATTTGTTTTCTTATGTTGAGGAGGGAGCTATGGTGGCCTCATTTGTAGGGAATTGCAATGCGAACCCAAAAGGCTCACTTCTGGTGGTTCAAATCCCCCAGTAGGTCCTGGGAAATCTCCTCTAGTGCAATTTACAGCCTCACAGCTCAATGAAGGTTCAGTTACGAGTCCATCTTAACTGGATGTTGCTATGTGCCTTTGAGTTGCTTTCAACTCATAGTGACCCTATATACAACAGCCCTAACACCAGCTCTATTCTGTGCCAATTTTACTCTGAAAAATCTCTTACTGACCCAGTCACTGTATCAATCCATCTCATCAATGGTCTCCCTCTTCCTCCACCCTTCCAAGCATGATCTCCCTCTCCAAGGACTGGTCCCTCCTTGTAACATGCCCAAAGTATGTTAGACAAAGCCTCAGAATTCTTGCCTCTAAAAAGCAGCCTGGCTTCACCCTCTCTAGGACAAACCTGGTTGTTCTCCTGTCAGTCCATGGTATATTCAACTCTTCTCCAGCACCGCAGCTCAAAGGCATCAATTCTCTACCATCCTTTGTCATTGTCCAGCACTCTGATGCATAGCAAGTAATTGCGAAGATTATGCCCTGGATCAGGCGCCCCTTAGTCTCCAGACTGAGACATTGCTCTTCAGTACTCTAGAGAGGTTCCTGACAGCTAACTTTCCCAATGCAATTCATCTCTTGATTTCCTGGCTGCTGATACCAAAAGTGTTGATTGTGGAGCCAAGCAAACTCAAGCTGTTAACAATCTCAATCTCTTCACCATCTATCATAATGCTGCCAATTGGCCCAGTGATGAAAATCTCTGTTTTCTTAATGTTGAGCTTCAATTCATATTGAAGACTGCAGTCCTCATGCCTAGATAGCATTATGTTGGGATGTAGTCCTTTATCACAGGTTTTGATCTTCTTTACTAAATGCTTCAAGTCCTCTTCCCTTTCAGCAAGGAAGGTTGCAGCATCTGCATACTGCAAGTTGTTAATGGGCCTTCCTCCAATCCTGATGCCTCCTTTTTCATAGAGTAGCTTTTCATATTATTTGCTTTGCATACATACTGAGTAGGTATGATGAAAGAATATAAAGACTTGATGTAGATCTTTCCTAATTTTAAACCATGCAGTAGTAACTCCTTGTTATGTTCAAACCACTGTTTGTTGGCCTATATTCAGGTACAGCATGAAGACAATGAAGGGTTCTGAAATTCATTCTTCTCAATGATGTCCATAATTTATTACAGTTCACATCTCAAATAAATATCTTTGCATACTCAACAGGACACAAGTTAACATCGTTCTGCTATTCCTTACTTTCAACCACAATCCATCTTATGTCAGGTAGGTTATCCTTTGTTCCAGTCTTCTGAATCCAGCTTTAATTTCTGGCAGTTCTCTGTAGATGTTTTTGAATAATGAGTAGTTTTTAATAATCTTCAGCAAGATTGTACTTGTGCTAATATGTGCTTATCCAAAGACCAGGAGGCAGTCGTCAGAACAGAGCAAGGAAACAATGCATGGTTCAAAACTGGGAAAGATGTGCGTCAAGGATGTGTCCTTAAAAAAAAAAAAAAAGGATGTGTCCTATCTCCATATCTTTTCAATCTATATTCAGAACAGATTATCCTGGAGGCTGGACTCCTTGCTACAGAAGGTCAAGGACGGCAGCCTTCAATATGGACTGAGGCTCAATATCAAGAAGACAAAGATTCTCACCACTGGGGCAACTGACGACATCAGGATGGATGGTGAAGAGATTCACAGCTTTAGTTTGCTTGGCTCCACAGTCAACACTCTTGGCACCAGCAGCCAGGAAATTAAAAGACGTACTGCGAAGAGGAGCATCTGTTTCCCTAACTGGAAACAGGACTCTGGCATGCTGGACAACAGTCTATCACATGGATGCCAACTTTCACCTGTGTCCCGAGGGACTAAGCGCAGAGTCCAGCCCAATATTCCCAACCCCTACATCTGGACAGTCTTTCCCCCTCCTGCTTCTTGACCTGGCCTAGGGGGAGATCAGGGAAGCCTGACGTAAGTGTAGCAGCCCCAGATGCAGCTTTTACTGATACTTGATATTCAAGTCTTCCGAGCTGAAGGCTGGCAGATCCGACCTCTACTGAATCAGATGGTGAGTGGGAAGCTGGCCTGAGAAGGTCATAAAAGGCACTCCAGGATCAGGGACCAGGAGCCAACTCAGGTCTCCAGGCCCAAGTTCCTTGGAAAAAGATACAACCACTGAAGCCTACAGATAAGCAAGGCCATCAAGCTGTTGGGGTCCTGGCCCTCCCCAAGCCTTTCCTAAACCATGATCCCTATCCCTCCAAAAAAAAAAGTGTAGGCGCTAGGATTCAAAAGAAGACGTTTTTAATACAAAGGGTTTGGGGCACAGGCTGGGTCGAATTAAATAAAAGTGGCGAGTATCAGGAGCCAGCAGTCAGGGGTGCAGGGGCCCGACGGAGGGGGATAATGCAGACGGAGTTGCGAGCCTCTTTGATCCGCCACCATCGGCCGAGCCTGCAGGAGTGAGAAGCAGCTGAGGTCCGGCCCAGCCCCACCTGGGAGCCACCATGCCCAACCAGCTGCTGCCCAGCACCACCCTGCCGCTTACCAGTTCCCTTGGAGGGGTGCCACTCACCTGTGCTCCTGCCCCACTCCAGCCACCAGGAAGTCACCGGTGCTGGAGAACTTGAGGCTGTTGATAAAACCCACCTGAAGAGAGAAAGGGATAGGGGAAGAGGTGAGAACAGAGCCCGGCCACAGGGGCGAGCCTCAGTCAATCCCTGTCACCTGCTCAGCCCACCCAGCCCTTGTCTCCTCCAGGGCCTCAGCTTCTCTACTTGTGAGATGAGGCTGAGAATGTGAGTTAGTGAGGATCAGACAGCTCTGCTGGGTTAGGGAGCTCTGGTGGACTAGTCTGTAGAGGGTTGTGCTGTTAACCCAAAGGTAGTGCCTCTCTGGCTGTTCAAATCCACCAGCAGCTTCTCAGAAGAAAGATCCACGAATCTCCTCGCATGTGACTTAAGCCTCTGAAAAACTCACTGGAGCGTCAGCTATGAGTCAACTCCAACTTGACAGCAATGAATGAGTGAATGAGTGAGCATGTTGGGTCTCTAGTCATGGGACCCTAGAGCTCCCGTGACTACCACTGACCCAGAGCCTACACTCTCAGTGGTGTCCAGTGACTGTCCTGTGCCCCTTCCCAATCACCCCAGTCAAGTCCACCTCAGCCTGGCCCTCAATATGACACTAGCCATCCAGACCCAAACACAGTGCCAGACTCCCATGTCTTTTCCCAGGGTGTGCCCAATCCTATATTCCAGCATCTAGGACACAGAGAAGAGACAGAGAGGAAGAAGACAAGGCTCCTGCCAGGCTCTGTATTAAGAGGTGGACACACAGAAAGGTCACAGCTTGCCCTGTCCCAAGGAGGCACCCATCTAATTCCAGGACCTAGGAGCCCCAGGGTAAGGCAGGTCAAGCATTCGAGGCTCACTTACCAAGGGGATGTCACAGAGATGGTCCAGTCGCCGAAAGCCCTCCCCGCACTGCCAGAGCCGCACAGAGGCATTGTGGGAACCTAGAGACAGGAGACAGTGAGGGCCACGCACACTGACCACCTGGTGAGCCCTCCTTCTTGTTGCACCAAGCACCTACCTGTGGCCACAAGGTCTGTGTTGAGCAGGGATGCCACAGAGGACACCCAGAAAGGCTGCTCCAGACCTGGCTCTCCCCGCAGCCCGTGGGCCTCACGCTGCAGGGCAAGTGGCCTCTTCTTGGAAAGGCCCCACACGGCCACAGAGCTGTGGGCAGAGAGCACAGTGGTGAGGCCGGGACAGGGCAGAAAGGACAGCCGGAGGATAGAGACATGGTCACCTAAGCAACTGGGCCCTAGGGCTTGTTTAGGTGTTTTAAAATTCATTTACATTTTAAAAAGTTTGAAGGTTTACAAATCATATTGAGTTTTCATAGACTGAACCATTTACAGACATTTTGTTTTATAGCATCAGGGCCTTTATCTACAAAGAGTGGTTAAACAGCTCCCACAGAGGGCAGCCGGAGGACCTTAAGGGGCTGGCCTAGCATGCAGAAGTTATAGCAGGAGATAGCAGAAAAGCAGCTCTTACCCATCATCTGCTCCTGATACCATGTGTTCCTCGTTGATGAGCTGGATGCAGTCAATGGAGCCCCTGAAAATAGGGTCTGTGAGGGGTGTCCCCAGTCCCACCTCCAGCCCACGGCACCACCTGGCCCCCAGGACGCCTTACTGGTGGCCATAGAAGACCAGCTGGGACTCCTCCGGGATCTTCCACACCCTTACGGTTCCGTCCCGGCCGCCGGCTGTCACGCAGCACTCTCGACTCAGGGCGTCTAGTGCAGCCACTGCATCCTGGTGCCCGAAGCTGAAGGGGCACACAGGTAGGAGTGAGGTCGTGTGTGTGCATAGGCATGCACGTGCAGACAGGCGGAGACCCACGCGTGCCTACCCTCTCCCCACGTGCACTCACAGCGTCTCCACGTAGGCGTTTTCGGCCACGTTCCACACCTTCACAGAACGGTCGTGAGAAGTGCTGTAGAGCTGGTGGGTGCCTCTGCGGAACGCCAGCCCCTGAGGGTGCATGGAGAGAGGGCCAGGTCTTAGGGCAGAAGACCTGGACTAGCAGGACAGACTGAGTCCAGACCTGGGGAGCACTTTCTGTAAAGGAAGTCATGTAGAACCGGAAGCCACCTCCCTTCACAGAGCTCACTGGGCACCTCCGTGCAGGGCTGTCCAGAACAGGCCAGGAACGGGCTTACCTGTCCTCAGCAGTCTCTCTTGACTTATCAGGGACTTCCCATGCCCTCCATCCATGCAAGTTCAGCTTGGTTTCTCCCTCTCTCTTTCCTACTCTCCTTTCCACCCCTTTACTTCCTTTGTGGCACTGCCCACCACATCGAAGTGTAAGCGTCCAGCAGCGAGGGACCAGGGAACCCTGTGCCTCATTCTACCCAGTCCCCAGTGGCTGGCCTCAAGCCTGCCCCACCCAGTAGGTGCTTACTATCTGCCCCCAGAAGCCCAGCTCCTCACCGACACAGCATCCCGGTGTCCCGTGAAGGTGTACAGGTGCCGACAACTCTCGGGCTCCCAGATGAGGATGAGCTTACTGCAGTCACCCGAGGCCTGTGGCAAACAAGACAATGGCTATAGACGCTCACTGTGCGCCAGTGTGTCTGCCCGCCCACCCGCCCACCCCTGGGGCTGACCCTGCCTTACGAGGTACTTGCCATCAGAGGAGATGGCCATGCAGAGGATGTGGCTGCTGTGGCCAGGTGGCTGCCCCTCAGCACCCTTTTTGGCTCGAGGGATCACATGCAACTTCCGTCCACTTTCTGTGCTCCCTGCCACCAGGGGAGAAGGCAGTGTGAAGAGTGTGACGGGTGAGAAGGCAGCCTCGCAAACTCCCTCAAGGGACAACAAGGGAAAGCCCTGGACTTGAGTCAGAAGCCCTCCTAATGGTTCAACTTTCAAGAGCCCCCGCCAAGTTGTCTCAGTTTCCTCATCTGTTAGGTGGAGGCAGTAATCCCGTGGGGCAGCCAAGAGGCCCAGAGAAGACAAGACACTCAAGAAGTACTTTGGGAACAATGGTGCTAGTTATTACCATTATGGGGAGGGAGCTCTGGTGGCCTAGTGGTAAGAAACTGTGCTGCAATCCCAAGGGCACGTGGTTCAAATCCACCAGCGGCTCCATGGGAGGATAGGATGGGCAATCTCCTCTCGTGTGATTAACTGCCTCTGAAAACCCGCTGGAGGGTCAGCTATGGGTCGGTTCCAACTTGACGGTACACAACAACAACCACTGTGGGGGGTGAGGAAAGTGTCCCTGGCGTAAGGATGAAGGCCAGGAGGTCAAAGAACTCAACCCAAAACAGTACAGAGCCGCAAATGTCCTCCAGTCCACAGGCCCACCTGTGGTATCAACTCCCAACAAATCATCATCACCCTGTCTGTTCTCCCCGCTCTCAGGGGCAAGAAGCACATGATCATCAGTGCAGGGCAGACCCTCCACGCCACCCAGAAAGTACCTCCTTACAGGGAGCACATCTGCCACCAGGGGCTTCCCCTCTCCAGGGCTTTTGTCTCCCTCCCCCTTCCCCAGATCAGCCCTCCTGGACAAGCGTCAGAATGCAGCCCTCTCCCCAAGCCCCACTAGGCACTCACTCACACTTAATGATGGTGCAGTCTTTTGCAGCAGAGAAGATGGCTGAGTCGTCTGGCGTGATGACCAAACAGGTGATAGAGAGCTGGTGGCCCCGCAAGACTCGAATGTCGGCCGGCTCTGGGGCTTGGATCTGGGCAGGAATGGGCCAGGTCACCACGGCGGGGGAGGAGGCAAGAAGGCACTGCCCACAACACTCCTTCCCACCATCCCCAGGCAGGAAGAAAACCAGAGCCAGGTCTTCAAGAACTTGCCCTAACCGCCCAAGTGCCTGCCATGTACCAAAGCAAAAGTCCCCTGATCCCTCATCTGGTAACTTCATCCCAAAGTGTCCTGCCCACTCACCTCCTTCGCCACCGACTTCTGCAGCCTGCCTCTCTGCTCGAGCTGCATGGAAGAGAAAGGCATGAGACTCCAGGAGCGGGGCCAGCCTCTGCCCGCCTTCGCTTCCTGTCTCACTCCATACTCACAACATCCTCCTTCAGGCGTCCTGCCACCTGGTCCTCTTCAAATTCACGGGCCTCAGCCTTCTCCTCCTCTGTCCGGAACAGATCGGACCAAATTAACCAAAGCCAGTATCTCTTTTTCCTCTTCCTGACCCTGCCATATGAAAATTCCCTGGGCCCCAAACTCTCAATGCTTCTGGCACAGGGGAGGGACGGTTGGATGGTCTCCTGCTCCCTCCCTGTCTTTACTTATCAGACCAGTCTGCAGCTCTCCACAGGCCTGGCCTGCCCTGGGAGGTCCACCAGAGTTCCTGGGACCACTCTACAGGGCAGCCCACACCACCAGCCCCAGTAGCCCACTGGTAACTGCATCTATCACCCTTTTATATCAGGAGATCCAGCACACAGGCTGAAGCACAGACTCTACTTCTTGCCTGCTCCACCCACACGCTCACCTTGCTGCTTAAGCTGCTCAAGATACAGCTTGGCCAAGCGCAGCTTCTTCTCCTGCGCTGTCTCCTCAAGCTCTTCCTCCACCTCCTCCTCCTCAGTCTTCCTCGGGGCCAGGCTGTAGGGAGGAGGTGGCTGGGTTAGAGGGGGTTCAACCTTTCCCTCTGGCCTTTCAAGACTGTGCTTCCTCATGTTCCCTGTCACTGGTGTCCCTGAACCCCACCCCACCCCAATTCATGCCGGCCCTCCTGCCCCATGATCACGTGGTACAGAAAACACACATTTTACCAAACTGGAAGGGACCAACCCAAGGGCCTGCATAGGGATGAAAAGATCTAATGCCAAAGATAAATCATTCATCTCTGGGGAAAACAGGATATTCTATCTATCAGTTCCCAAAGAAAACATACGTCACGTACAAAAGGTCATGTACTGAAATGGCTTCAGATACTTCAACAGCATCACTGAGGAGCATCCTACACACTGAGGATAATGCTGAATACTGTGCCCAATTATCACATTGATGACAAAGGAATATATTGTCAGATAGGCAAAAATCCACAGAAATGGTCCTTGACTCCCCTTTCAAGAAATCAAGGATGTGCTCTTCAAATAAGAGGGTAAGTAAGAACAAGGCAAGCATAAGTCATATGAGAAGAGATGTAACCAGAGACTTGAAAAGACAGACAGCAAGCCAAGAAGTGGCTCCACACACAAAAGGTGGCCCAGTTGAGATCGGATCCAAGGACCCAGCAGGCAGACACATCGAGGCTCTTCTCATCTCTCTCCCAGCTGCTACACCACCACGCTTTACCCCATAGACAGTGCCAGGGAATTGGCCGGCCTTGGCTTCGTCTGACCTTGAACTGATGAAGTTCCACTTTTCCTTCCCTGCCTCACTTCTTGGACCAGACTCACTTCACTGCAAGGCTAACCTTGCTTTAACCTGCTCCTCAGAGCTGAAGGTGGGTTCTACAAGATTCTGCAGTGTCAGATTACCCAGTAAGCCAGAAAAGCATTATGCTGACTTACTAAAGTGTAGTAAATAATTTTTCCCAACACCAAAATACTCCGCTTCTAGAGATGGTTGATCTCAATCCCTCTCCTAATTCCACAGCACCTTCCTACAGATCCAAAGCCTCTTCAAGTTTACAATCCCTGACAGAGCCAGCAAGCAAGGTACACCATGAACCCTGTATCCACCATGCATCAGAAAGCAGATAAAGCAAATGCGTGCTCTGTTCACTAGGTGATTAGGTGTTAGTAAGCACAAGCGAGTCTGTGCTTTCCCTGCCTATCGGGTAATCCTGTCCTAGAGATCAGAACAAAAGAACCCAGGGCAGGCTTCTTGCTGGACCCACGTGCCTACAGACACCTAGTCAATATCAGGTGCCCCAAGTTTGTTTCACAGGACTCACTCATGAACTTATCCAGTACTTTCTCAGAAGGGGACTTAAGAACTCTTAGGAGAGTCAAGGCCAGACAAGGCCACCAAAGACCACTCAGTGCCATGCCCAGCAAGCTTCCTGCCAACAGGACTGTACTAGCCTGCCCTATAATGGCCAAGGCTGAGACTTCTACTCAGTTTATCCAAAGGAGCACTGAGAAATTAGAGGTTGGAGGGGGGAAAAGCAGCAATGTAGGAACTATTTGATACCCTCACTGTGGTGACATCTACATGACTATACGCATTTGACAAAATAAAAACTAAATCACATCTTAACAGAATTTAAAAAAAAATAATTAACAGTGTAATTGAGCTCTGGTGGCTTAGTGATACCAAATGTGCTGCTAACCCAAAGGTACATGGTTCAAATCCACCAACTGCTCCACTGAAGAAAGAGAGGCAATCTCCTTCCATGCAATTTATTGCCTTTGAAATCTACTGCTGAGTCAGTTCCAATCAAACACACACAACAACAACAAAGTTCTGTGCATGCTCTAGTTTTTAACCTAAGTCCACAAAAGTTCATTACTTTATCATAACTCTAGCTAGTTAATTTTTTCACTCTTACCTATCTAATACACCTTACAACACAACACCAAGAGTGCTTACTTAGCATGAGATTGCCACACACCAAAACTCTAAAATTACGAAAACTGTATTAAGCCTTTTTTTGTGGCCAGGTTAAGGCCAACACACACTCAACCTGAGAAGCTGAATATCTGAGGCAAAACATAAGGAAAAAATGTGAGACAATGTGGGGCGGAGCAAAATAAAACATTTCTGATTTTTGTTTTTTTAAAAAAAAAGATATAAGGAAATTTAAAAAAAGAAAGCTCAATTTCACTGCCATCAAACTGAACTTGAACCATACCTGACCCTCCCTCCAGTGAGTTTTTAGGAAGCTGTAAGTCGCATGGAAAGAAATCTTTCTCCCTCGAAGCCATTGGCGGATTTGAACCCTCAGAGAGATCACTTATTTTGGGTTAAAAGCACAACACCCAACCGACCACCACAGTGCTCATCACTGAGGAACCTGCTTAACATTCTGATTGGTTATGAATGTACCTAAAATGGGAAGATGGGTTTTACCCTGAGAACATCTTATATGGGAACAAATGGCCCCAGTCTATTCTTCTTATTGAGAAAGTGTGGATGAAAATTATCTTAAAACTCATTTCACTTGAGAGCTTTTTAACAGATGTCTCTGACCCATACATAAATTTAAAATTATTATAAATAAATAATTCTATTTATTGTAAATTTAAAAAAAAAGCACAACACCCTATGCATCATGCCAACAGTATTCCCTGGAGCTCAGTATGAGAGGCTCCATCTCACAAAATCAGGCCTGACACCTCATTCCCATTTGAAACCCTGCACTATACTCCACCTAGTCACCCACAGAATGAAGGAGGCATTACAAGCCCCTCTGTAATCTAATGTACCGCCAGCTCTTTCTTCTCCGATTCTCCACTCTCGCACACTTAACACCCCAGCTCCTTTCCTCACTTTTTCATGGGAGAAATTACCGCTCCAGGCCCTACTTAAATGTCACTCCTGTATTCCCGGCCCCGGAACTGTAAGGCACATACCCACTGTTGTTATTGTTGTTATTTAGGTGCCATGGAGTTGACCATGACCCACAGTGATGCTAAGAACAACAGATGCGACCTTTGCCCTATCCTGTGCCAACCTCACCATCTCTGATATACTCAAGCGCACTGGCATAGCCACTGTGTCAGTCTGTCTTGTTGAGGGTCTTCTCCTTTTTCTCTCATTCTCCATTTCTCTTCGTAGGTCTCTCTCCAAAGACTGGCCCCTCCTGACAACATGCCCAAAGTCCATGAGACCAAGTTTCACAATCCTTCCCTCTAAACAGCACCTTGCTTGCACTTTCTCTAAGACATACTTGTTTGTTCTTTTTTTTAAAGAGAATGAAGCCTTTATTTCCTTGTTTCACACAAAGCTGGCAGAGTTGGTGGCTTTTTGGTTTTTAGTCAAAGAGACCAAATCCCATATCCTCGTCTGACTCTTCCGACTCTTCCTTTGTTTCCACCTTGGCTGGGGCCGCAGCAGCAGGAGCAGCTGCAGTAGTGGCGGCAGTCACAAATGCAGATGGATCAGCCAGGAATGCCCTGACCTTTTCAGCCAATGGGAAGGTGTAGTCAGTCTCCACAGACAAAGCCAGGACCCACTGATACCCACTGATGACGGAATGTGGTATTGAGGCCACAGTTGGGTAATCAATCTGCAGACAGACGCTAGCAACACTGCGGACACCCTCCAGGAAGCGGGTATGCAGGGTCTCCTCTGTGATGTCAAGCACTTCAGGACTGTAGATGCTGCCGTTGTCAAAATCCTGCTGGATGATCAGCCCGAAGGAGAAGGGAGAGATGTTCAGCATGTTCAGCAGGGTGGCCTCGCTGGCTCCCACCTTATCTCCAGTCTTAATCAGCTGCACATCACTCAGAATTTCAATGGTGCCTCTGGAGATCTTAGTGGTGATGCCCAAAGCCTGGAAGAAGGGAGGTCTTCTCGGGGCCCAGACCAGTGTTCTGGGCTGGCACGGTAACCTCACATGGAGCAATGGCACCAGCACGGGCAGCAGCCGGCACCTTGTTGGCCAGCAGCATGTCCCTGATCTCTGTGAGATCCTCTTTGGTGAACACAAACCCCATGTTCCCCCGGATATGAGGCAGCAGCTTCTCCAAGGCCGGGTTGATGTCCAGGTGGCCCCAGACGGCCTTGCGCATCATGGTGTTCTTGCCCATCAGAACCACAGCCTTCCCACGGAGGGACATGCGGATTTGCTGCATCTGCTTGGAGCCGACATTGTCTGCACCCACGATGAAGCATTTCGGATAATCATCCAGAAGTTGAATGATCTTAAGGAAGTAGTTGGACTTCCAGGTCGCCCTGTCTTCCCTGGGCATCACTGCGGTGCGTCAGGGATTGCCACGCGGGGTTTAAAGACAATGTCACTCTCACAAGGATGCCTGGAGAGAGACTATTTGTTTGTTCTTTTGGCAGTCTATGGGACATTTAGGACTCTTCTCCATCACAATTCAAATGCACCAATTATTCATTGTTCTGCCATCCTTATTCACCGTCCAGCTTTCAAATGTATAGGGCATAACTGAAAACACCACAGGTTGGACTTTCCCTCACCTCTTTACTTCTGGAGAAATAACCCATCTCACTCTCTGAGATGTTATCTTTTCTAATAAAACTAAATTTGTTTACACCTCCCCCCAAAAAAGCAATACTATGGCTTGGATCTTGCACACCTTATTCTTTAAACTGACATTCTTGCTCTTTTGCACTTTGAAGAGGTCCTTGACACATCCACTACAGGCCGTTAAGTTATTTCATCACCTGACTCCTCATCCCTGTACCTTCAACAGTGAGGCTAGTTTCTGGGAACATGCAGAATAGGAAACATACAGGCAGTTGTGAAAGTGTGAGAAGACAAAGTGAAGCACCAGAAAGTTTTTCTTGCATCCCTCTTCCCTTGCCCTGTGTTCAGCTTCCTGTCATTAACCAAGGAGGACAGTGTTTTACTAAACCTAGGAGTCCTTACATGAAAAGGCGATTCCTCAGAGGCAGTAACTGAAGGGGGGAAAAACCCAGGCTGGGAGCTAAGAACCACAGTTCTGGGTTCTAGGCCCAGATCTGCACCAACTGTGTAATATCTAGCCAAAAGAGGCCCAACATTCTTTACAGAAATGAAAGAGAAGAACCACTTACCTCTCACTCTCAGAATCGCTGGAGATCTCTTCATTCATCCTGCCACCACCCTTAGCTTTGCTCCTGGCTCCAGCAGAATCGACCTGGAAAGTACACGATCCTTTCTCTAGGCGGGTCCCAACCACGCCGGCACTAACCAGGGGCCCATTCCGATCCCTCAAGAGCCTCAGGGCTGGAAGACGCAGTGGCGCCAGACTCCATCGCAAAAATTTTCAGGTCATGGTCAGAAGGGAGAAAGGGCGAAGCTGACTCCAGCTGGGGTCCCCGGAAAAGAATTACAAGAGAGGGGCTCCCAGCACCAGAACTGATGTCGACCACATAAAGCCCATCTTACCTTTCGTCGCCGTTTGCCGGCGCCCGCACCGGTCTCAGCCCCCGAGGCCGGCTTGCCCCGCTTGCGAGCTGCTACTTTACCCGACATGATACCCACACTATCTGTATCTGGCTGGAGACCTCAGTATCTCGTGGCGACTAGATAGATCCCCGCGGCCCCGCAAGACGCCACAACCCTGATAGGCTTCCGTAGCTCAGAGGGTCCCGCCTGCCACGACCTCATTTCTTCAGTATCTGTCACGCCCTCAAGCGTCTACTGGATAGATGCCTCTGTGGCTACGCCTCCTTAGAGCTTTGATTTGCTACAGCTCCTGCCTCCAGAAAGAAGCTTCCGGCCCAGGGCGCGTGCGCATTGCTGCTGACGTCCTAAGGAGGGATTAGACCCGGAACGTCAAACCCGGAAGATATTCTCCGTATTTGCAGCCCTCGGCCGCTGGGGAGCGGCAGAGATGCGGGGTTGCCTATCTTTGCGATCGGAATGGTGGCAGAGGGAACCAGCCAGGCTGGCAAAGGGTGACTCGGCCTGGTGCGCGATAATAAGAGAGATCCAAGCAGCCCCTGGAGAGAGAGAGGTGGTGCCGGGACTCATGGTCACTGGGCAACCGGCAAACACGTGCCACATGGCCCAACCCATACGAATAGCGCTAAGAGCGTGGGACCTGGCTTTGACCCAATCAAGTGTCCACTTATCCGGGAGGCTCTGTGAGACAGGCCAGCCCCACCTATGCCATTCCAGCCTCTCTGACTCAGCCCGACTGGTGGCCAGATAGCTAGAATTCTATCCCTTGCTCAACTTAGTCACCGCTCTGGCCACTGCCGGGAAGTCCCTTCCAAAGTCACGCCCAGGGTTCACCAAGACCAGTTAGAGGAGGGCCCAGACTTGCTGGAGGTGCACACAGAGCGGGTGGCAATCACCTCTCCCAAGTCCTCTTAGGTGAGTGCACTGCGGCCCTGCCTACAGCCCACCTCAGGGTGAGGTAGAGGTGGACCTGGACCAGGCAGGGTAGGGCTGGACAAGCCAGGCCAGAGTGGGGCGGGAACCTGACTTTTGGGAGTCCAGCTCACAGATCACCCTGGCCACTATCTGGGAAATAGTGGATCAATTGGGAAGAGCTTCTACATTACTTTGTCCCATATTGTAAAGGGATAGATTTGATCTCTGGAGACATGCCATGGTGGCTACTGCATCTTGCGCCCCCCCCCCCCCCCCCCCCACCCCCCCCCCCCCCCCCCCCCCCCCCCCCGGTTTCCCCCAAACTCTGGTGACTCAGCCTCAGCCCAGAGTGCTGGGGGGGGGGCAGAGGCCAGAAGCAGAGAAAGGAATCTCCTTTCACTTTCCCTACCACACCAGAACTTACCGGAGAGGACAGAGAACAAGACCCTTCTGAGAGGCCATCCTAGGCACCCGTGACAAGGAAAAGGGGCTAGGAGAACGTTTTCAGTCTGGGCTGGGAATAGGGCAACAGAGGAAGGAAAAAGCAGTAAGAAGCCACCCAGGGCAAGCCCCAGTCTGGCCGAACTGGTTCTCTGAGAACATTTGGACTCTGGAGGCAGTGGAGGTCTGAGGGTCCCTTCTTAACCCGACAGAAGCCATGGCTCCAAAGCGCAAGGCCCCACTACAGAGTGAGGGCCCTCAGAAGAAGAAAGGGCTCCAGGTGGCAAAGGAGGAAGACAGTTTCCGCTCTGCGGCCGAAGCCCTGAGGGCCGCACCTGCAGAGAAGCGCAAAATCCGAGTGGACCCTGAGTGCCCACTCAGCAGCAAGCCTGGGACCCAGGTTAGCCGGCAGCCCCTCAGCAGGCCTGGGGGTGGGGAAGCCCAGTACCTGCCCCTAAGGCTCCCGAATGAATTCCAGAGGAAGGCCTTGTTTTTCCACGACCCTTAAGTTCAGGCCTGTAGGCTACTCTGTCCCCACCAGAACTCTCTCAGTATGTGCCTGGATCCACTGTGTGCCGTGTTGGCAGCTACTGCCAAACTTTCCTCCCATTGGCGCCTCTGGCCCCAGGTTCATGAAGACTATGACTGTACCCTGAACCAGACCAACATCGGCAACAACAACAACAAGTTCTACATCATCCAGCTGCTGGAGGACGGTAACAGCTTCAGCTGCTGGAACCGCTGGGGCCGCGTGGTGGGTATCACTCATCGTCCCGTGCATGCCTCCTCCTGCTCAGCACCCATTCCTGATCCCTGGGGTCCAGACACTTTACTCAGGCCAAGAGCTGCAGCTGCCGCCTGCCCCCCACCTTCCCACCTCCCTAACTCAGGGCTTGGCTCAGCCCAGCCATGGAACCAGCAGGTGTCTGTGGCGGGCACTGCAGTAGGCTGTCGCTTACAGGGTGAGGTGGGCCAGTCAAAGCTCAGCCCCTTCCCATCACTGGACGCAGCAAAAAAAGACTTTGAGAAGAAGTTTCGGGACAAGACCAAGAACAGCTGGGCCGAGCGAGACCACTTCACTGCCCACCCTGGCAAGTACACACTTATTGAAGTACAGGGAGAAGACGAGACCCAGGAGGCCGTGGTAAAGGTACTGTAGCCAGGGAGGGCAGGTGACCTGGGCAGGAGAGGGGACTTTATAGGGAGACCCGCCAGTCCAACTCTTCCCTCCCAGCAGTGCAACCTTGGCATAGACACCTGCTCTGGTCTCAATCTGGCCATCTCTGTCACATGTTGGGTCCAGCTCCTGGGAGAAGTGACCTGCCTGGCTGCCCACATGTGTCCTCTGCTCCTAGGTGGACGGAGGCCCCCTGCTGACTGTGGTCCAGCGAGTGCTTCCCTGCACCCTGGACCCAGCCACACAGAAGCTCATCACCAACATCTTCAGCAAGGACATGTTCAAGAATGCCATGGCTCTCATGAACCTGGGTGAGTGGCTGGGATGGTAGCTGGGGGCTCGGGAAGGCAGGACAGCCCAGGTGAGTCTCCCTATTCCTCCTGTCTTCCCAGATGTGAAGAAGATGCCCCTGGGAAAACTGAGCAAACAACAGATCGCTCGGGGCTTTGAGGCCCTGGAGGCACTGGAGGAGGCCTTGAAAACCCCCTCGGTGGGCGGCCCCAGCCTGGAGGACCTGTCCTCCCACTTCTATACCGTCATCCCCCACAGCTTCGGCCGCATGCGCCCACCACCCATCAACTCGCCTGAGCTGCTGCAGGCAAAGAAAGACATGCTGCTGGTGAGGGCTGGCAGGTGGGCGGCGGGCAGACCAGCCCCTGGAGTTGAGGGATAGACAGATGGCTAAGAAGAAGGGATGGACAACAGAGGGCAGAGCAAAGGACAGGGAAGGAGAAGGTCACACAGATGGACAAGGTAGAGATGGGTGGCTGGACAAAGAGGTAGTATCAGTCTTGTAACTCTCAGGTGCTGGCCGACATCGAGCTGGCCCAGACCCTGCAGGCAACCCTTCAGGAGGAGAAGAAGGTGGAGGAGGTACCACACCCTCTGGACCGAGACTACAAGCTCCTCAAGTGCCAGCTCCAGCTGCTGGAGGCGGAGGCACCTGAATACAAGGTGGGCCAGACCCTGCAGACGAGCCGGCTGGCGGTGGGCACCAAGCCTCTGCCCACTGCTCTTAGCAGGTCCAGAGGAGTTCCTCGCATTGGACCTCCTCTCCCTGTGTCTCTGGGGCCAGGGGAAAGCGCTGGGGCTCTAGCCCCTGCATTCCCATGGCACCTAGCTTCTGCCTTCCCCTAGGTGATTCAGACCTACTTAGACCAGACTGGCTGCAACTACAGGCGCCCGGCTCTTCAGCATGTCTGGAGAGTGAACCGAGAAGGAGAAGTAAGGGCGAGGCTCCCAACCCCTCAGCTCCCCTCCATCCCTGGGGAGATAACCTTATCTGCATCTTAGCCCGCTGGCTTGGCAACTCTGGCCAGCCATACTAGGTCTCACCTCACATGTGTGCACAAGCATGTGTTTGAGACCAGAGGGGCCTTAGCTTCTGCATGCCATCTGGGCAGAAGAGAATGGCTCAGATGACACTCTGTTCTCTCCTTGCTCCCCACCACAGGGAGACAGGTTCCAGGCCCACGCCAGTCTGGGTAATCGGCGGTTGCTGTGGCACGGCACCAATGTGGCGGTGGTGGCTGCCATCCTCACCAGTGGGCTCCGCATCATGCCACACTCTGGTGGCCGTGTTGGCAAGGGCATCTATTTCGCCTCAGAGAACAGCAAGTCAGCTGGTTACGGTGAGACACACCTCTCTGGGCCCCGTCCTACCCACTGGGAGCTTAAGGTATTTCTAGGAGTCAGTGGTCTTTGGGCCTCTTTGAGCTCATGAGGGCCCACGTGTACGGAGTAGACCTGCTCTCTAGGGTTTTCAAGACCTTGTAGAAGTAGCTTGGCAGGCCTGTCTTCTGAGTTGTTTCTGGGTGTATTGAACTACCAACCTTTTGGCTAGTAGTTGAGCTCTCAATTGGTTGCACCACACAAGGTCTTCTTTGTTCAAGAATTGTTGTTTTACCAAGACCATTGATGTCAGTCTGGAGACTAAGGTGTACCTGATCGAGGCCATGATCTTTGCAATTACTTGCTATGCATCAGAAAGCTGGACAATTATTAGGGATAATAAAAGGAAAATTGATGCCTCTTAGTTGTGATGCTAGAGAAGAGTATTGACTATACCATGGACTTGGGAGAACAAGCAGATTCATCCTGGACAGGGTGAAACCAGGCTGCTCTTTGGAAGCAGGGATTCTGAAGCTCCATCTGACATACTTTGGGCATGTTGCAAGGAAAGACCTTGGGATGGTGGAGTGACAGTGCAAAAGAGGAAGACCCTGGATGAGATGGATTGAGTCAGCAACTGGGGTAATTGGGCTAGGTGAGTCAGAGGTGATGAGATTGGCACAGGATGAAGCAGAGTTCAGAGCTGTTGTACATATGGGGTCACTATGAGTCGTAAGCAACTCAACGACACTTAATAGTAACAACAACCATGAAGTTAGAACCAACCCATAGCTGGTTTTCAGAGGCAGTAAACTGCATGGTAAGTGATTTCTCATCTGTCTCCCACGGAGCAGCTGGTAGATTCGAGCCACATGTTTTTGTGTTGGCAGTGCAGCTCCTTACCACTAAGCTACCAGACTCCCTGTATAAGAGAAGGCTTCTTAAGTGGTTTCTGGCTGGACTGCTCAGTGGAACATCCTCAGGCCTAGGAGGACTAAGTGAGGCAAGTGGTAGTCCCGGATGGCTTCTGTGAGGAGGTGATACAGATGGGACGAGAGAGCCAACTAGATCTTGGAGAAGTGCAAGAGGAGTCTTCACAGTAAAGCAGTAGAGGCGGCTCAGGGCCTCTGAGTTCTTCCTGACACTGATGTTTAAAGCTAACATCTGGCGGGAGGCCTGGAGGCCCAGGCGAAGCATCCAGACAGTGATGGGAGGAGCACAGATGGGATTCTTTCTGGGTGGCAGGTTTTCAGAGGGTGGAAACGTGAGACCCTCTCCCATCCAGACCAGATGTAATGGGCAGTGATGGTGGGGAGGAGGGGCGCAAGAAGGGTGAGTTATTGCAATCCCAAAGGCTCATGGTTCATATCCATCAGGTGCTCCCCTAGAGAAGGAGGGACAATCTCCTCCTGAAGGTATACACACACACACACAAAAAAAAAAAAAAAAGAAGGAGAGTCGCGAGTGGACTGAGCAGTATGTGAAAATGCCTCCAGTGAGCCCCAGAAAGTACCCTCACTAAGTGACTCCCTAAGACTGGCTTCTCAGCGCAGGCTGACCTCATCCCCAGAGACTGCTGCTACCCACCCACCCAAGACAACAGAGGACAGGGACTCAGCCACGCTCTGGGAAGTCGAGAGCTGCCCATGATCACAGAATCCCTCCACAGACAGAAGAGGAAGTGTTTGAGAGAAAGTGGCCAGAGGGTCTCAGAAGAGCCAGCACAATGGGGTCCTTAGGTAGGGGGTAAAGGACAGGAGTGGAGAAGCCTGCAGACACAGACCCCAGGGTGGTCACAGGGAGTCCACTGCTGGTGTCAGTGAGCACAGCAGTGGGGCTGAGGCCTGGCTGCAGAGGGTGGGCAGCGACAGAAGTGAGAAGGAACAAACAGTGAGCACTTTTGGGGAACAGCAAAGCCAGAGGATTTAACAGTGAAGCAGAAGAATTGAGGGTGTCAGGCAGAAGGATCAAGCCCGCCTCTGGGCCTCCCTGTATCCCCCCCAGTTACTGGCATGTCCTGTGGGACCCACCACATTGGCTACATGTTCCTGGGCGAGGTGGCACTAGGCCAAGAGTACCACATCACCGCAGACAATCCCAGCTTGAAGCAGCCACCGCCCGGCTTTGACAGTGTCATCGCCCGAGGCCGCACGGAGCCTGGTGAGTCCTGGGGACCCCAGGACAGTGAAAGGGCTGAGATCAATGGGCCGAGGTGTTTCCAGGGAGGGGGTGAGCTGGGAAGGGGCTGTGAAGAAGGACAAAGTAAAGACTTCCTTGCTTCAGTCATTCACCTCATTCACTGGGGGGCACGTCTGGAGGGCTTCAAAGAGGAAGTGTCGCTGAGTCTTGAAGAAGGAGTAGGAGTGTGTTAAGCAGAGACATGGAGAAGAATATTCCAGGGAGAAGGCCCAAAAGCCTGGAGGTGGGTGAGCTAGAGCTGAGTAGGACTGATCCAGGGTCTTCCTTTCCCATGACCCCTGCTGTTCCCTGCAGATCCAACGCAAGACACAGAATTGGAGCTGGATGGGCATCGGGTGACAGTGCCCCAGGGCCAGCCCATGCCCTGTCCCAAGTTCAGCAGTTCCAGTTTCTTCCAGAGCGAGTATCTCATCTACAGTGAGAGCCAGTGCCGCCTGCGCTTCCTGCTGGAGCTACGCCTCTGAGCTGCCTGCCCGACCCGACCCACCTGTTTGATTAGAGGGTCACAGCCCAAGAAGGGGCCAGCTCCCACACCCCTAGGATGGCCACCCAGTCCAAACTCTACAGGCACACCTCATTTTACTGCACCTAATGTTTTTTGCCACCAACATAGAGAGAGCTCTGTGGGCGTGGTGGATAGAAAATTATGCTACCAAGTCAAAGGTGGGGAATTTTTAATCTGAGGCCCTCAGGCCTGGTTTTAATTGGTTTTGGTCAAACATTCTTCTGAGTGGTATAGCACTGGTCTGTCCATTTGCTGTACAGAGGTAACTCATGGTTACTGCAATGCTGAACACTGTGCCACTGATGTGTCAAATGCGATAATGGTGACTATGGTGGACAGTATTTGGTGGAGCTCCTCAGTTAAAACAAGCTTGGAAACAGGAGTGGCATCCACTTCCAAAATAACTTGCCTCCAGAAACTCCATGAACTTGGAGAAACGATGAAACTTATACAAGTGTTCAGGTCTTTCATTCATAGGGTCATGATGAGTCATCTATGAGTCCTCTGTGACTCGACAGCACTTAACAACAACAATGTTTTTTGCACTCTTTTCTTTCTTTTTTTAAAAATTAAAGATTTGCGTTCAGCAAGTCTGCTGACACCATTTCTCCAACACATGTTCACTTTGTGTCTCTATGTCACATTTTGGTTATTCTTACAACATTTTGAACTTTTCATCATGTTTTTGCACACTCAGCAGGCCCTGGTGTTTTCTGAATGACTGATACGTACGGAAAGGCCAAAATACTCATGTGACCGCTTTTCTGTAATATTTACACTCCCACCGTGGTCTCAAACCCAATCTGTAACCTCTCCCAGGTACACGTTTGCCTCTGGGAGTGAGGCTGAACGTCAGCAATGTACAGGCAGGTGTATTAAATATCATGTTCCCACACACACACCCTCTGGCCTCTGCTTGTCTGTGCTGTAGCCGCGCCAGGTTTGGACTTCTGTCTCTCCACAGTCACCGGCCCCCAGCAACTCCAGCCCTGTGCCAGGGGACAGTTGCTCACAGGGTTGATATGGGTCGCCCACCCTCCTCACCCACCCTGCCTTGTCCACACCCATCACTATCAAGTCCCACTTTCTCTAGAACTGAGGCTTCAGGGGTGCCCTTACCACCCACCCAGGAGTACTGTTCATTTGGGTATCTCCCGCTGACTCACATCTTCTCTTGGTTTCTCAGTGGGTGACTTTCTGTGAGAGACACTCCTTTAGCCCAGACTTTGCAAGCGAATCAGGCCATCCTCACCTCCTGACACAAATATCCACCTGCCTAGTATCATAGTGTTGTGAGCAGGCTGAGGATAGACACCCCCCCCCCAAAAGGGCACAAGTTCCAGTCTCTTCAGTCATGAAAGGAGACAGTGCAGGACTTCTCTGTCACTCACTCACGCACTGGGGTCAAGTTGGAAATGACTTACACCTGACTCTCCAGTGGGTCTTCAGAGGCTTTAAAACACACAGAGGAGACTGTCCATCTTTCTCATGGAGTAACTAGCTAGTGGATCCCAACTATACACCTTGGGGTCAGCAGCATAACTCCCTACCCACTAGGCCGCCCGAGCTCTTGGGAGTTCTATGAGGAGGGGTCAGCAGGAATGCTGGTTATCACCCAGATGACCCTGTCCCCAGGGAGGAGGGCAGGTCCAAAGTCACACACTCCTTTCTCTTTAGTCCTGTCTCTTGGGTCTCCTTAAATCTAGAACATTCCTCAGCCTCTTTCTTTTCTTGCTCTTTCTCTTCTTGCACATCCTTGACATTTAAAGAATACAGGCCACTTGTTTTCTAGATTGTCTCTTCAGTTGGGTTTGTCTGATACCTACTCATGACTAGATCACAGAATTACAACTGAGGCAGGAATACCAGAGAAAAGGTGTTCCTTGACATATTGTTCCAATTGGCAGCATCAGTATGGATGGCGAAGAGATTGAGATAGTTAACATTTTTAGTTTACTTGGTTCCACAGACAACACTCTTGGTAACAGCAGCCAGGAAATCAGATGAATTGCATTGGGAAAGTCAGCTGTGAGGGACCTCTCAAGAGTACTGAAGAGCAACAACCTCAAACTAGAGACTAAGGTGCGCCTGATCCAGGCTATAGTCTTTGCAATTACATGCTCTGCGTCAGAGAGTTGGACAGTGAATAGGGGTGATAGAGAATTGATGCCTTTGAGTTGTGGTGCTGGAGAAGAGTGTTGAATATACCATGGACTGCTAGGAGAACAAACAGGTTTGTCCTGGAGAGGGTGAAGCCAGAATGCTCCTTGGAGTCAAGGATTCTGAAGCTTTGTCTGACATACTTTGGGCATGTTGCAAGGAGGGACTGGTCCTTGGAGAGAGACATCATGTTTGGAAGAGTGTTGTTAGGAAGAAGGCACCTCTCCCTTGGAAAGATTTATTAACTCTGATCACTTCATTGGTTTGGTATCTACCAGGTTACTCTACCATAAAGTGACCATTTTCTCTCCCTTGTAATTAATCAGCAGTCTGTAGGGAAATATTTTGAGAGTGTAAGGGCCTCATTCCTCATCAAACCTTCATCTATTAGCTTTAACAAGCATTGATGATTTTTACATTAAATCAATGACCTGAATCAATTTTTGTCAAGATAGTTGTAAATGTTGGTTATCTAACTCCATTACTTAATTTATATTTATCAGTTAATGTTCCCATTTTATTTACTTACCTTCAGTCTGGATTCATGGATTCTTGTTTTACTCAATGAGTTATAACCCATGACTGTCACTATTTCTTTGGTCCTCAGATTGTCCAGATTTTGCCAGTGGAAGCTCCTTCAAGCTGCAGTGTCCCCATAATTTTTTTTGGCATTTCTTTGCTTTCCAGCATAACAAGATGTTCCAGACTCATCTTGCATAAAGCTGGAAACAGCTCTTTCTCCAAGGAGCTCAAATTCTCTGGAGCAGAAAATGGTGATTAAAATCCAAGTTCTAGAATCCAAAAGTAAGGGCACTCCTTGCTACTGGGTGTCCTTGCTTTTAAATACTTTTCACAAGCTGAACTGAGAAATGTGTTGTTGTTGTTGTTTATTGTTTGGTGCCGTCAAGTTGTAGACAACTCATAGCGACCCTATGAACGAACAGCCTGAGCACTGTTCGTACATAGAGTTTCCAGAGGCAAGCCATTTTGGAAGTGGATGCCGCTCCTGCTTCCAGGCTTGATTTAGTCAGGAAGCTCCAGCCAACACTGTCCACCATGGGTGCCCATTACCACGATTGGCACATCAGTGTCACAGTGTTCAGCATCACAGCAACCACGAGTTACCTCTGTATAGCAATGCATTGTCTACGACTCGACAGCGCCAAACAACAACGCAACATACTACAAAGTGTTTTTATTTATTTGACATTAATCCATAATATGCAATTAAATTTACAAATTATTTATTAATTTTGGAAGGTGTTTTCCAACCCACACTCTCCAACCTACCATAGTTCTCATTCCTCTCTTCCCTCCCTAATCCTCTTTCCCAGCCTGTCTTCTTCACTGACTAGTCCCACCTGGCTCTGCTGGCCTGGTTCCAGGTCTGGTGGCTTAGAGGCTGCCCCCCAGACAACAGACCTGACTGGACAGAGAGAAGAGGAAGGAGTCGTCAGCCGTTCTCATTCCTCCAAACCAATATTTCACACAATCCAACTTTACCTCCTAAGGCAAATGCCTGCATTCAGATTGTGGCTAAATACAGGGGGATCCATTTGGACAACAGTTCTGGGAAGTAGAGGGACCTTGGTGATACAAGGGTTAAAGCTGCTAACTGAAAAGACAGCTGTCTGAGCCCACCAGCCAGGCCTTAGGAAAATGAGGAAGCAGTTCACTTCCAGAAAGATTATAGACTTGGGACAGGGAGAAGCTGGGACCACAGTCATAAGCCAATTTAAGTTTGTCGATATTGTTATCACTTGACAGATTCTATGTCCTGAGGAATTTACAGAGAGGTTCAAAAACATCCAGATGACTTACAGACTATAGTAGAGAGAGCTGTACAGATTGGTGTTAAAAAGGAGATGATTAAAAAAAAAAAAGGTGATGATTACAGGTGGGAGTTCTACAAGACAGCAAAGATGCACTGCACTTGACATAAACAAAATGTTTTTCAGTACAGCTGGAAGTCATCCTACAAGATATGGTGGATTTGAAAAGAACAGCTCTGACCTTTACCTGAAGAAGTTACTAAATCTTGCTGAAAACAACAAGGGGAAAGTTGTAGCAAGAGGGGAATGTGGATTTGATTTCGACTGACTATAGCTTTGTCCCAGAGAGACTCAGCTCAAGTATTTTGCAAAACAATTTGAATTATCAGAACAAACAAAATTACCAATGTTTCTTCATCGTCGAAACTCACATGCTGAATTTCTGGACAAAATGAAAAGAAATAAAGACCGGTATGTAGGTGGAGTGGTGCACACTCAGTTAACGGTATCAGGGAAGCAGCAGCTGCCCTGCTGGACCTATATCTGTATACAGGGTTTCATGGTTGTTCACTGAAAGCTGAGGCTAATTTAGAAGTCAATACCTAGTGGAAAATTAATAACTGAGACTTATGCACCTTAGTGTGGAGTCAAAGGGACACATACAAGATCAAAATTCATAAAACATCATTTCCTACCAAGAAGTGGGAAAATGGGTACCGCTTAAAAGACAGAAATGAACCTTGCCATATAATCCAAATACCAGAGATAATGTCAGCAGCAAGAGATGAAGACTCACCGGAATTAGCCAAAGCTCTTTATTAACAATACCATTAAAATATTAAAAAAAAATTACAGACTTGGAAACCCTATGGGCCAGTTCTACTCTATCCCACGGGCTGCAAACTGAAAGGTTGGCAGTTTGAATCTATCAGCTGCCCAGTGGAATAAAGAGGTTGTTTCTTCCCATAAAGTTTTATCACCAAGGAAACCTGATGGAAGACCCTGTGAATCTGCACTGACCCAACCACAGTGAATTCCTGTTTGGGGTTTTTTTTAACAGGATTGTTGTAAATCACAATCTACTCAACAGCAATGGCTTTGGTTAGATTTTGGTCTAAGAAACAGGTTACCTGAGTTCCAGGGGGCAACTCAGCTGTGTCAGGTGAAATGTATTCCTTTTCTGGACCTATTTTCTCACCTAAATAGTAAAAAATTAGATGAGGGCTCTTCAAATTCCAGCACAAAATGAGTCAAGCCCGGAGGAGACCATCTGGAGCTGCACTGATAAGGCCCAAGAGCCTGTGGAAAGTGCTGGGGACAGAGGTATAAGCAAGACACAGATGAGGGCCCTGATCTCCTGGAGCTCACATCCTAGCAAAATGGGCTTTAAATAAATACACACATACATGAAAATATTATCAGGGAAAGTATCCTAAAACTTAAGCAAGCTAAAAGGATGAAAGTAATGGGGAGTTACAATGGAAAACTGTTCTAGACAAGAAGGTTAGGGAAGGCCAGTCTTAAGGAGAGAGGCAAATTAAATGAAAGGACAAGGCACGGACAGATCTCAGGAAGTGGATTTTGGCAGAGAGACAAGCAAGTGCAAAGTCTTGAGACAGGAGCCAGTTTGGCACATGAGAGGAGCAATAAGATGTTTGCTGTGTCTGGAAGAAGGTGAGATGGAGAGAAGGCAGAGGCTCACAGGATGCTGGGAAACTCCTTGAGGGTCGACAGCAAGTCATGACCTGATCTGGTCTGATTCTAGACGGATCCACTTTAGCAGCTATATAAAGAGATGGATCAGTTAGGATTCCACCAGTAAAACAAAAACTACTGCAGGTATTCAAGACTTTCCCTCCCGTGATATAGTCTTGAAAGCCACCAGACACTCCATGAGAGAACGATGGGCAATCTCCTCCCTAGAATTAACTGCCTCCTAAAACCTGCCAGAGGGTCAGCTATGGGTTGGTTCCGACTTGATGGCACTCAACAACAACTGTAGGCATTTAAGACACAAGGAGTTTGGCACAGGGAAGAACCGAACCATCAAGCTGGTAATGATGAGGCAATTCAAAGATGAGTAATGATCTTAGGCTGAAGGGATAAAAGAAGGAAATGGTGTTAGGATGGCCAAAGGCTCGAGTGCAGAGGCCAGAACCAGAGGGGAGTGTCCAAAGGCTGTCTTCTGCTAGGTAGAGCCTGAGCTCCAGGATAAGCACACACGAAAGAAAACACCTTAGCTTTTCCCTTCTTGCATCAGTTGGCAAAGGAGCTTGGGAAGTATAGCTCCCCCAAAAACCAAGCAATACTTGAGGAAGGGTAGGCAGACTGGCAAATGGCCTGGTGAGGTGCAAGAGCAGTGCCCAGGAGGTCAGTTAGGAAGATGTGGGAATGGTCCAGGTGAGAGAGGTGGTGGTAGCTGCGACCAGGGTGGAGGTAGTGATGAGCATGATTGGATTCTGGATATGTTAATGGATTGGATGTGGGGCTTGAAGGAAAAACAGGAGTCGAGGAAAACATTTGTTTGCCATCAGGTCAAAGAAGAAGCAGAAGGATAAGCCAGTGGTTGCTTCGTAAGGCCATTTATTCCAGACCGTCTTGAAGCACCTACCCTGCCAGCCCATTTGTCATGTGCCACATCTCTTTCTCACCCAGCTTTTTTCCATACCAGCCCAGGGTGCCTAAGGACTTTCTTGCTTGAGCTCCTGGTACCTCACATTTTCCCTCCACACAAAGACTGGGTATTGCGTTGCCTTCGCTGATGAGGATTGTGGGAAGAAAGCAGATGGAAATCACTTTCCACTCCTGCGAAAGGGCAGAGCAGAGTCTGGTTGCCTTTAAAGCCCAATTGAACCTCCTCAGTCTAGACTCCAGGCTGTGCCTGTTCCTCAAGCGGAACCCCAAGGCACTTCCACAGCAGAGTGAGGTTCTGGGCGCTGGCCTCCAGCTGGCAGCTACTAGGACCCAGGGGGCAGTGTCAGGCCCTGCCCCTCCCTCCCTGGCTCTGGGTGTCTCTAAAGGGCAACATTAGAGTGACAGCCAGTACCATCTCCAGCAGAGACTAAGGCACCCGTGCTGGGCTGAGGCCGGGGAGAGAGACAGTCGTACATCTATCTCTTCATGGGGCTGGCCATGCCCCCAAGAGGTCAGCAGCCTAGACGAAGGAGTTAGCGTCTGGGCAGCCAGCCCGTAAGGTGAGAGGCCAGAGGAAAGAGGGATGGAGGGATGACTGGAATCTCAGAGCCGGGGCCAGAGCTCCATTTCACTCTTTGCATCCCAGCACAGGGCGAAGCCTGAATGCTTGTATGGCCAACACCACGGGGCTGAACAGCCCAGAAGTTGCAGGCTCAGTGGGGCTGGTTCTGGCGGCTTTGGTGGAGACAGCGGCGCTGCTGGGCAACGGTGCACTGCTGGCAGTGGTGCTGCGCACGCCAGGGCTGTGCGACGCGCTCTACTTGGCACACCTGTGCGTCGTGGACCTGCTCGCTGCCGCCTCCATCATGCCCCTGGGCATGCTGGCCGCGCCACCCCCGGGGCTGGGCCGCGTGCGCCTGGGCCCCGCGCCGTGCCGCGCCGCGCGCTTCCTCTCGGCTGCACTGCTCCCGGCCTGCACGCTCAGCGTGGCCGCCCTCGGCTTGGCGCGCTACCGTCTCATCGTGCACCCGCTGCGGCCCTGCGCGAGGCCACCGCCCGCACTTGTGCTCGCCGTCGTGTGGGCCGCCGCGGGGCTGCTGGGTGCGCTCTCGCTGCTCGGGCCGCCGCCGGCACCACCCCCTGCCCCGGCGCGCTGCTCGGTCCTGGCCGGTGGCCTCGGACCCTTCCGGCCACTCTGGGCGCTCCTGGCCTTCGCGCTGCCCGCCCTCCTGCTGCTTGGCGCTTACGGCAGCATCTTTCTTGTGGCCCGGCGTGCCGCACTGCGCCCCCCACGGCCTCTGCGGCCGGCGTTGGGATCCCGGCTGCGCTCGGACTCTTTGGACAGCCGCCTTTCCATCCTGCAGCCCCTCCGGCCTCGCCTGCCCGGGGGCAAGGCGGCCCTGGCCCCAGCGCTGGCCCTCGGCCAGTTTGCAGCCTGCTGGCTGCCCTACGGCTGCGCGTGCCTGGCGCCAGCAGCGCGAGCAGCAACAGCGGAGGCGGCGGTCACCTGGGTGGCCTATTCCGCTTTTGCAACTCACCCCTTCCTGTATGGCCTACTCCAGCGACCCCTGCGCCAAGCGCTGGTCCGCCTCGCCCGCCGGATAGTTCCCTGGCCCCCAAAGGCCTGTGCACTACAGGCCTGGCATCCTCGAGCACTTTTGTGCCGCCTGCAGGGACACCCCCAGTGTCCCGCCCTAGGCCCTTCGGAGGTCCCAGAACAAGCCCCAGAGTTGGAGAGAGATGGGAGTCAGACCATGCCAGAGGCCACCTGAGCTGACTTGGAAAGGAGGGCAGCCTTGGAGCAGCACAGCCAGCCCCTTGTAGAGGGGGTGGTACTTGTCTTGCATGGACTTTTGGCTGTGGTATAAAAGAAAAAAATGTGCCAGCAGCCTGGTGGGGCCTTGACGCTTCAGGGAACCAGGAATTCTGGGTTCTAGATTCGACTCTGTATGGCCTTTCTGAGGCTTTTGTTTCCCCATCTCTATACTGGGCCTTAAATTTGGGTGGTGTGACACTCACAGAAGTTTCCCAGGTCTAGGGAGGAGAGGTGAGCAGGGTCACAGACTAGGCCAATGGATGAGAGGTGGGTCCTGAGGGCTCACAGCCAAAGGGATGGGCCTTGCAGGGCAGGGCCTGGACTACAGCCGCAGCAGGAGGAACCAGGAGAAACATGCAGGAGAACTTCCCTGACCTCTGCAGAGGAGAGGCTGCACGGAGCTACTGAAACTCCTGTATCAGCTTCTAAGAGGCCCAGGAAACAACCCGATCAATTTGGGAGCAGAGCCAAAAGCCTGGACAACATGAAATCAAAAGAGGCCAGAAGCCCTGGGACTGGTGCGTGGAAGGGGCTAAAGGTCCAGCGAGAACTGGCAAATTCACAGATGGGAGTCGTCGGGGCCTCAGATGTACCCACCCCAGAACCCTTTCCCACAGTGTTTCACAGCTTCCTGGTCGCTGAGAATATTTATTCAAAAACAGGGATTGAAAAAACTGTACAGAGTGTCGGCTGCTGAGAACTCGGCCCCTGTCCCCACACCACCCCTGCCCCCCCCAGCTACCCGGCAGTGCCTCCCCTGTAGGGTTTCCCCCTGCCAAGCCCAGCCAGTCCATTCCAGTCAAAAGGGTGTCAGTGGAAGCAGCAGGAATCTGTAGGGAGGTGGGGAGATAAGCACAGCCCCAGCACCCTCTAGCCCTTCCTCCTTAATCCCTGCAGTGGGGCAGTAGGCTGAGAAGCCCTAGGGAGGGGACTCCCCAGGTGGGAACATTAAAGAAGGCTCTGGCCGCTCTCTACATCCAAGCACAGAGCTGAGGCAGTGGGGTTCCTTGCCTTGGGACCACCGCAGCTTCCAGAACATTAGGCCAGAGAGTGCCCCTACTCAGGAAGAACGCCTGCACACTGAGCCAGGGTGGAGGATGCATCCATGCGTCTGGGCTTTAGAGGCACTGGGGACCCCTGGCTGGAGTCTCCTTGGGCAGGTAGGGTGTGAAGGAAGCCCTCTGCCTGGTGGTCCTGCCTGCCCCTGGCCTGTGCTTCAGCCGGCCTCAGTAGGGGGAGAATTTCTGCCGCTCAGCCTTCTTGCTCCCATTGGCCGCTGCCATCTTGGCAGTGTAGGCCGCCAGGCCAGGCGGCGGTCCTGGGGAGGCAGGTGGCAGAGCCAAGAAGGGGACTGGCTTGAGGCCGATGAAGTTGGAGAGGGAGATGGCATAGGGTGTGCCCAGCAGGCCTGGGGGAGCCGTGGGGAGGGCCGTCAGGGGTGGCGAGAAGGGGGCGGGCAGGTCTGCGGGGGTTGAGCCGGGCGTCCCCCCAGAGGTAGACTTGGCCGTCTCTAGACTGGAGAGAGGGACATAGTGGGGAGAGGAAGAGGAAGGTGGGGGTAAGAGAGGTGCCAAGGAGGGCAAATAGAGGGGGTATTATTAGAGGAGGGGTAGGAGAGAGGAATTGGGCGGGCAGTCACATGGTGTGGACATGCTTTGGGGGGAACATGGGAAAGGTGGAGGGAAGAACAGGCAAACGCAGTAGGGGTGAGGGAAGGCCAGTGACGCCAGGAAAAGAGATAAGATCAGGATCAGGGAGAGAGGACAAGAGGGAAGTATGTTGGGGCATGAGTCATGAGGAGGTGGGCGGGAGGTCCAGACAGACAGACAGACGAGTGTCAGCTGCCCCTCCCCCACGCTTGCTCACCAGGCAGTGATGAGGTACTGGGCCAGGGCGATGGAAACTGGCGAGCCGGTGATGGTCACGTGCCGCTCACCAGCACCCTCTGCTTGGTTCCCAATCTTGATATGTGCCCCCGACATCTGTCTGATCTCGCTGATCTTGCTGCCCTGACGCCCGATCACGCAGCCAATCAGCTAGGGGGAGGGTGGAATTCAACCCTGGGCAAGGCCCAGATCCTGGAGGGGCCCCCTCCCTGACCCGCACACCACCCCATTCCCTACTCACATCGTTGGGAACCAAGAACTCTTGCGAGCTGGTTTGCACGCTGGGATCCAGGCCTGGAGGGGTGGGGTTGGGGAAGGGATTACACATGGGGCTGGGCCTCTTCCCTGGCACCCCCATCTATTCCAGGGTGCTGCCCTGCCCAGTCCTGCCTTGTGTGGCAGAGGCTCACCTGGCACCACACTGGGTGAGGCAAAGGGGACCGTGTGCCCTGAGAGCTGCTGGAGTTTGGTGACCTGTAACAAAGATCAGTGGTCAGAGGGGGCTGACTCACAAAGGGGGCGCCCTGGGCTGAGGGTCACTCACCTCGGCTGGGGTCACAGCCCCATACTGGCCCTGGACAGAGAAGCCCTGTGGGGACAAGCAACGTGACAAAGAGGTTACTATGACAGTTGGGCAGCTGGGCTAGTCATTCCTCCGGTTCCTTCATCCATCTTCTCAGACCCCCCCCCTCCTCAAGCAATAATCCCTGCCCTCCCCGCCCCGTCCCTACTCACCTGGTTAGCAGAGAGAAGGACAGTACCTAGGGACAGGCTCGGATGATACGGGATAGTGGCTCCTTTGGGTGGGGACTAGACGGGACAAATAGGGAGACTGTATTCCAGGCCCCACAAACGTCCCCAAGGACCCCTGGCCTTAAGTCCTCTCTATGTCTCCCAAGTAAATACCCCTGGAGTTAATAATTCCTACAGCTCCATCCTGCCTGAACTGGGCCTCCCTTGCTCCCACCTGGGTCACAGGCATAGGGTTTGAGTGACCAACAAGGGAAGTCCAGAGCCCAGTCCCTCCCCCTCCTCCAGGCCCCAGGGCAGCACCTCCAGGATAACAGCACAGATCTGGCGCACACACAGGATGATGGCATCGGGCACCCCGGACACAGTGACAGCACGCTCCGTGGAGTTAGGGAGCAGGTCTCCCGCCACCTGAACCTGGGCACCCGTTGTCTGCGAGCAAAGAATAGAAGGCACTCTGCATGCTTCTATGCCCTGAAGGAGGGCTAACCAGCTTACAAGGGACCCCAAAACACAACCAAATCCAATGCCAGCAAGTCAATTCTGACTCATAACAACCCTATGGGGCAGAGAACTGCCTCTGTGGGATTTCCAAGGCTGAGAACTCACAGGAGCCAACGATCACCTTTCTTACGGGCTTGAACTGTTGACCACTAGGTTAGCAAGCAAACACCTGATGATTGTGCCACTGTGGCTTCTTGCAAGGGGCCCAGGTGGAGGGAGAATCGTAGTCCAGTACCCTTTCCTCCACTGGAGAGTGGGGGCTTCCTGTGGAAGCTATCCCTTTCCCTCACCTCACGGATCTCCTTGATCTTAGTGCCAGCCTTCCCGATCAGCGAGCCGCACTGGCTGGCGGGGATGACAAGGCGCAGGGTGACAGGAGGCCTGGATACGTTCCCACCGTTTGCCGGGGCGCCGCAAAGGTCCTGGGGCAGAGAGACACAGGGTTGGCTGTGCGCTTGTACAATTTCAGAACACACCCCTCCCACTCCTGGCTGCTCCCCCATCTCTAGAGCACCTTCCAGCTAAGGGATTCCACAAAGAACCCCTCCCACAGACAATACTTATTCACTATCTGGAGTCAAGGTCGTGTTTTTGTCTCAAGAACTGTCTGGGCCTCTCACTCCGGCTGGCCACTAACCTCATCCAGCTTGAAGGCGATCATGGACACGGCATGGAAGACGGCCGCTGTGGATCCAGTGATGGTGGTGATACGCTCGGGGCACGAGCCCTCGGAGATGGTGATCCGGGCGCTGCTCTGAGGGTACAAGACGAGAGGTAGGCATCGAGGCCCCCTCTCCTGGGACCTATCTGCCTGCCCCAGAGGCAACAGCGCAGAACTGGCAGAAGAAGGAGGCGGGGGGACAGGAGCACTCCTTCCCTTCATATCTGGTCAAACTCCGTCCTCACCTGCTCCCGGATCCGCTTCACAGTCTCTCCCTTCTGCAGGAGACAAGAAAGAATTGCCCTTAGCCTGAGCAGTGGATGAGGCCTCAGGTTAGGGGGGATGTAGAGAGTAGAGCCGGCACCTACCTTTCCAATGATGCTGCCCACCTCCTGCAGAAAAGACAAGAGCGAAGTCGGAGAGGACAAACACCCAGGCCCTGCCCTCCCCGCATCAGGGACAGGGCACCAGAGGCTGACCTTGCCTCGCCTGGCAGCTGTGCCTGCTGCACCCACACGCCCACCGTGGTGACGCCCCCTCCCCTCACCTTCCCATGCATCAGCATCCGCAGCGTGAGGGTGATGCTGAGCTCCGGCTCCTCCTCCAGCCCCGCATCTGAGCTGCTCATCCTGTTAGGCGGGGCTGGGGTTGCAGAGGTCAGGGAATTCGTCCACGCTGGGGCCTGGCCCGCTCTGAGGGAGGGCACAGAGAAAGACAGATTAGAAAGGAGCACAGCACAGCCTTCGCTGGGGTCCCCACACTCTGACTAACCAAACATCCCAACTTCCTGATACCCTAACAATCCTGTGCTTGTTGTGACTTTAATAACTGTGACCCTGGTGTTACTCAGCCCTCAGTTTCCCCATCTGTCAGGAGGGATTATTAGCTAATTATCCCTAAAGAAATAGGAGAATTAAAAGGAGATAAGCTCTTGTAAAAGGGGCAGGTCCTTGGAGAAAGACATCATGCTTGGGAGGGTGGAAGGGCGGGGCAAGAGGGGAAGACCCTCTGTGAGGTGGACTGATTCAGTGACTGGGGTAATCGGGATGGGTGTGTCAGAGGCAGTGCGATTGGCACAGGATAGAGCAGGGTTTAGGGCTGTTGTACATAGAGTCGCTAGGAGTCGCAAGCGACTCGACGGCACATAACAACAAGCTCTAGTTCTCAACTTCTGAGTATCTTTTTCTTTTACCTTACACACTAAAATTAACTAAGAGATCTGTTGGAGCCCAGAAGAGAGATTTCCAAGTCTTTTGAAAGCAAGGAACCCTTCATTTGGGTCTTGTAGGTTAAGCAAATTATTCTAAACAAGAGGCACTTGGTCTAGAAAGGACGCTGGAACGGCCATGGGGAGCTGTGAAGGGGATCTTGCAGGGATGACAGCAAGAAGATGGCAGGGCTGTAACAGGTACTCTCTTGCTCCTGCCCAGAAAGGACCAGGAGTCCAGAGACCATTCCACATCACTCAAGCAGAAGCTCCCTATACACAGCTCACACAGGGTTCATTTGGCCCGAGATGTGAGGGGCCCAAAGTCTGCATGGTGAATTTCCAACCTCTCTTCCCAGTCAGGGAAGAATGGTCCAGACTGGGAGGTGAGGGCAGTCTGGACCTGCTCCCTTCCCAGCCTGAAGTGCATTCTGCTGCACTGGAAACAAGTCATTTGGGCTCTCACACAGAGGGAAGGCCTGCTTTCCCTAGGAGTGGGAGAAACTCCCGGTGCCGCAACTGTTAAAGTGCTTGGCTGTGAACCACAAGGTCATGCTTCTAAACCCTCATGACAGAAGAATCGATGCCTTTGAGCTGTGATGTTGGAGTAAAGCACTGAACATCCCATGGACGGCCAAAAGAACAAATATAGCTTGGAGAGGGTGCAGCCGGAGTGCTCTTTGGAGGCAAGACGATGAGGCTTTGCCTCACATACTTTGGGCATGTTGCTGGAGGGGCTACTCCTTGGAGAAGGACATGATGCTGTGAAGGGTCAGTGAAGGAGAGGAAGACCCTCAACTAGGTGGATTGATGCAGTGACTGCCGCAATGGGCTCTTGTGTGTCAGGAAGTGTGAGGACAGCACCGGATAGAACAGGGTTCAGAGCTTTTGTTCACAGGGTTGCTATGACTCTTTCTTGACCCGGCGGCACCTAACAACAACAACAACCTCTCCGAGAGAGAAAGAGATATGACGGTCTCCTAAAGACTGACAGCCTTGAAAAAATGCTTAAAGGTAGTTCGACTCTGTCCTCTAGTGTTTCCTTGAGTTGGAACCAACTCAATGCGGGATTCAGTGCTGGCAGATGGGTGATGGGTAAGAGAAACCTGGGGGGCTGCAGGAATGTCAAGGCTGTCAACTGGGTGGAGGAAGGCAAAGCCAGAGATTAGCCAATGGGATTAGCCCAGCCGCCAGCCCTCCCCACCCGACCCCTTTTCATGCCCGACTTAATCCTGAACCTTAATCCTGCTTGGAAATCCCTCCTTTAGCGGCTGTCTTCTGCCCACCAAGGCTCAGCCTTAATGAAGAGGACCAGGATCTGTGGAGAACAGGGGTGGGACCAACTGGTGCCAAATCTGGCCCAAGACCCAGCCCTGTCCCCACAAATTCTTTATGCTCAGGACAGCGTGGAGGCTATGGACGAGTGTGCTGGACTTTCAGCCCACAGAGGCCTCCAGTGTCCTCCTCCTTAACTCTCACTCTATCCTGACTTGCGGGTCAAGGGTACGGAGCATGGTTCAGTTTCTCTTCTGAACCTCCCTTGCTGGCCAGAGCTGGACACGGAGCAGAAAAGGGGCTTCCTAGCCTGGGTCTTTCCCAGAAAGCCTGAGACGTGTATTTTTTTTTCCTCTGCACAAAGAGGGTGATGATTCTGCTCCCCAGAGCAGCCACTGGCATCTGCTCCTCCTTCCATTCAGGAGGTCAGCGGTGGGTGCAAGGACTGTACTCTGAACATCCTGGCCAGCCTTAAGCTGGCTGCCCTTGCTGGACATTCCCCTAGCTGCCTGCACTTCCCCCATCAAGGCGTGACGCGTTTGCTTTCTGTCTCTGGCCAGTCAAGCCTGGGAGACCCTTCGAGCTGAGGCCAAGGCTCCCAAATTCAGCCCAGTCGAGACCAGAGAGTGATGCTCTGGACATACTGGTTATTTCAACTGATGAATTCACTCCAAGGGAGAACCTGAGGCTGAGAAGGGGCTTGTAGCCTGCCCAAGATCACACAGAGAGGGAAGCATGGTGAATCCAGGGTTCTTTCTTCTATGCAGGGCTCTCTGCCTCCCCTTCCAGGCTCTTCCTGTGTAAGTCTGTCCATCAGCCCTCTTCCCAGACAGTGGAGTCTTCAAAGGCAGGGACCAGGTTTCATAGTCCCTGAGACCCTTGCCCATGCAATAGAAATCTCTCTGGGGAGAACTAATGACTTATATAGTGACATAGACCTCAAGGTCCTTGACTTTCTGGGGCTAAGCCAGTGGGAAAGATGACATCGCTCCCACACTGTCTCTGCAATTCACCCTTGTGGACATGCGGTTCCAGGAAAAATAGGACAAGGAGGACTGGGCCATGGCTAGATTGGGGCCCAGCCCAGAAAAAGACACCTGGGTCTGCAGCTAGGTCCATTACCCCAGATTCAATGGATGACTTTGATCGGGCCTTCATCTGACCAGGCCTCAGTTTACCCATCTATACTGTACCAGGGAATAAGGGAAGAACACTGGTTCCTTTGTGTCCTTTCTGTCTTGAGGGACCCTTAAAGTCTTTCCTGTCTTTAAAAGAGAATAAAGAGTCTTGACCCAGGCCCTCAAATTATTCTCTCACATGTTCTAAGAACAAGTAGCTCCACTAGACATTACTGCCCCCGGTCCACCCTCACTGGGCTCTAGGAGTTATTTGCTGCTTCAGCCCGGTGGGTCCTAGGTCCCTGCTGGGCCACCCACGTGGCAGCCACACTGACCTCCAGCTCACCTCTGGGGGTGCCCAGCCCCCTCTAGTCAGCAGGGCTCCCTGGCAGGACACACCAAGCTCAGACTAGTTAGTGTCTGACCTGGGGTGTATTCTCGTTCTCCCCAGGTCCCCTTCCCACATCCAGTGCCCACCTCTCCTGTCCCTGGCTTCCTGCCATTCAGGCTGAAGGCGGGGTGGGGGGGTGGGTGGGCGGGGGGGATAGGGGGTGACAGCTGTGTAAGCGATGGTAACTGTCCCTGCTCTCCCCTCCCCCCAGCTGTCTCTCTCCCATGACAGCTGCCCAATCAAAGGGCCAGGGGCTTAGCCAGCCCCCCCTACACACACACAGGGATCAAGTGTCCATCCTGGCTTTGTTCTGGAGCAAGAACAATCTGGGGGAGGAGAGGGCTCCTGGGGCCAGGCGACTCCAGTGGACTGGCCCGCCCCTTGGGGGATTCCCTTGGCTCTGTTGGCCAGAGTGTCTGGCCCAGCCTGGGTCTGTGGGCCCACCTGCGTTGGTATGAGATGAGGAGAGTCCATTCTCCAGCTTCATACCCCACCTCTCATCTCCCAACATTTCCCTCAACAGTCCCAGCTCCCAGATCTATCAGCCTCCATCTCCTCTTCCCATTACAGAAGCAGCCATGCTGGCCACACCCAGTGATGCTGGGGAATAGCTCAGGGCATCAGGGAAGACAGGGTGTGGTGGGGTGGACACAGGCCTGAGGGGGTCAGAAAGGAAGGCTCCTGAGTAGTGGCCCAGCTCCCTCCTCTGGGGGTACTTACACTTCCTGATTAGCAAGGCTTCCACGAGAATTGTCCCTCAGTTCTCAGACACAGGCACCCAGCCACCCCCCACCTCTAGTTTCCCAAAATGGCCTGTCATAGCTAGTTCCTGGGGAGCCAGGGAACAGGGGGCTGCAGAGAAGCAGCCTAGGGTCCACAAGCTCTGATTCCTTGACCCAGGTCTGTCTCGTAGACTCAACACCATGTGAAGTTGAGCCCTGGCCCGCTCATGGGTAGCACAGCACACCACAACCCTTATTAGCCAATCTCACCTTCATCGTACCTACAGTTTCTCTGCAAACAAGGGAAACTGAGGCAGGTGCAAGCTTAGAATGGGCTCTGGGGAAAAGGCTGCAGCTTTGTAGAATGGCCCCACCCACTGGTACCCATCCCGTCTCACCCAAATTGAGAAAGGTCTCTGGCTTCCGTTCACTATGCCGGAGGCTGGGTCATTCTACTCAACAACTATCCATGGCTCCCTGGTGCCCAAGAGGTAAAGCCCAATCTCCATAGATGAGCACTCAAAGTTCTTCACAGTCTGGCCGCTGCCAAATTCTCTTCTGTCTTCTCTATCCCATCCTCCACCCACATCAGGCTCCAGGGCACCTCCAGGCCTCTGTTCCAGATGAAAATGCTCGTCCTCCCTAGCCTGTCACAATCCTTCTCAAATGCCACCTCCTCCAACCTATTAGCCTCCTTCAGAGGAATCTTCCCTACCCTTCCAAATCAGATATAATCACTTCAGCCTGGGGGCCCCTCTCCCAAAGATACGCCTGTAATTGAAAGGAGTTGCAAAGGAGTATTTCTGAGCCTGTCTTTCCCATTTCACCAAGAGCTCCAGGAGGCAGGAAATTTGAGACAGACCCAGACTCAGTAAGCAGGGAGTGGAGGGATAGAGATCACAAGAGCCTCAGGGCATCAGGGACCAAAGATGGGACTCAAATGATCAGGGGGGTTGGGGTAAGAAGACGCATGTCCTGACGCCAGTAACACGGGCAGAAGAACCAAGATGTGCCAGGACAGAATCCTGGTTTCTTCAGCATCCCCAGTGCCTACTCCTCCATTTCTCTGGGTTCCCAGGGCATGTTGCTAGAAGATGGGAGATTCAGGCTGTGCTGTGAGACTTTGGGGGGAAGGGGTGGGCAGAGTGAGTCTTCTCATTGAAAAGGGGGCCTGGAAGAGCTGAGGGGAACAACACAGGTCTCACAAAGCCAGGCTCAGCTTGTCAAAGCTAGAAGAGTTCACCAATCAAGAGGAGAAACTGAAAGCCTGAAGGAAAGGGACTTGTTTGTAAGGCCACATGGGAAGTAACTGGGCAAACTCAAGGGTCCACTCGTCCAGTTTAGGGCCCTTTCTTCAGGTCAGCATCATCGGGGAATGGTGATGGAGGATGGGGTGGGGGGGCAGTGACAGGAGTAGAGGGGGTGAACAGAGCTTATCTGGGGACACAGGGTGCGGCAAATAGCAAGCTGGCTTTCCTATGGCCAGGGCCCGCCAGGGTGTGTGGGCCGCCTGTTCCCAGCCCCCCACCCTGAGCATGCAGCGAGAACAATCCCCTTGTGTTTGGGCGGCCTGAGCCTGCATGCTGATGAAGGCTGGGGTGGGGGGGTGTGGAGGCTGGGATGGGGGTGTCCTGGACAAGGAAGGGGTTCTAGGGCCTGAAGGAGTTGGGGGACCTTCAGATGGGGAAAGGATAGGGTCCTAGGGATTGATTGTGGAACAATGAGGGAAGTCCCAGAGAAGGATAAGAGCCAGAGTTGCTATTTAATCCCCTTGGGGAGTTCTTAGGGTCTGGACTGCTTTGTAGGGGAAAAGAGGACTCAGGGAACATATGTCCTGATAGCCCAGCATGAAAGTAGTCATCCTAGGCTTAGTGTAAATCCAAAGGTGCACATTGTGGGAAGAAGGGATGTAGGTGGCCCTGAGTGCATCCCCTTGAGGGATACTTTTCACGGTACTGGGGGGTTGGGTGGGGCACTGGGTGCTACAGGTCTCAAGATGGCGGGCCTAGGGTAGGGGAGTGAGGAGGCAGGCATCTCCCTCTCCCAAGCAAGGAGGCTCGCTCATATGAGATCCAGGCAGGCCTGAGTGGTAGACCCCCCATTCCACCCCAGCCAGAGATCTAGGTCAGAGCTTAGAGAATGAAGAGTGAGAGGGGACAGAAGACTACTCGGAGCCTGTAAATGCCATTTCCACAATCCCTGGACTAAAGAGCTTTGCCTGCACTCCCCTCCCCCCCAAGAAACTGCAGAGAATGGGAAGGGGTGGGAGCCAAGCCAGGGGGCTGCAAGAGAAAGGCTGATGGGGACAGAGTCCTGGAAGACCCAGAACCCAGGACAGGAGTTCCGAGAGAGGAGTACGCCAGCGCACACGAACATGGGGTGGGATGGAGGCCTCAGACCTGGGGTCTCAGGTCCAGGTAGCCTCTCCGCGATGCTGGGGGCTCCCTGGCGGACCAGCGCCCCCGACCTGCGCAGGCCTCGACCATGTGGGACAGTGAACATGTTCCATGCAGTATTCCCAGTCCCCCAAACCCAGGGCCTCAGGCCGTGGACCCGAGCGCAGGTTCCCCGCCCTCTGGCCGAACCCCCAAACTTCGCGGCCTGCCGTGCCCCGCCCGGCCCGCGCCCTACCTCGCTGGGGCTGTCCTGCGGCGGCGGCGGCGGCGCGGCGGCTGGGCCGCTCAGTCCCACATTGTCCCCGGGAGAGGCGGCCGCTCACAACTGCGAGTGACATCAGCTGCGAACAATGAAGGGGTTGACAGGCTTGAAGCCCAGAGCCCTGCTCCGCGCCCCGCCTCCCGTCCCCAGCCCGCCTGGCCCAGCCCCAGTATGTTGTTATTGTTTTGTGCCTTCGAGTTACTTGCGACTCATAGCGACCCTATTCAATTCTCCTTCTATCCTCCTTAGTCATTGTCCAACTCTCTGATGCATAACAAGTGATAGCAAAGACCATGGCCTGTATCAGATGCA